ATCTTAAGAATTTAAATCGTGCAGTAAGGCAAAAACGCTAAACCTTCACCTCCAAACAGCATATTCGTAAATAAAACTTTATAATACTTTGCTCGTGAAAGCTATTTACAAATATGTCAGTCCTTGTTTTGCAACACTTGAAAAATGGCAAAAAATTATGGAATTTCTAACTTTATTCATAAAAACATGGTAGAAATGAGAAAATTAAACACATTTGTTATTTCAAGACTGTGGGAGATTGCTTTTTATAATACAACTGAAGTTCGAACTGAAGATTTGTACTTACTTCGATCGTTTCCTAACTTAGATAGCTTCTTGCTCCAACTTATATTGGTAATATAAGTAACAATACTTCCATGAGCTTTTTTACAAAAAGTCCAAAGTAGACCCAAAAGTCTATTCTTTACTAAATAGACTTTTGAGTCATGATATATCATAAATGTGCCTACATTTTACCTAAATACTTTAAAATATTTAGTTTCTATGAACGTTAATCTATTTAATTTTCCGTCATAGTCTTAATGTTCTAAAATGTTAATAAATCATAAGTTTTATTGACCAAAACATAATTTTAAAACGTCTATAACTAATAGTTTTCATGCAGTACCCCATAGGGACTTATTCTACTTACCTGGTTCACCTTCCGTTTTAGGTACACTATAACAATTTGATTTCTCACTATTCTAAAGAAACTCGCTGAAAATATACCAACCTCATCATTATCTTTTATTTATAAGCCGTGGTAACTTTCTGTTATATCCTGGGAGATGATTTGTGAAGTGTCCTAAAATCGACGGAAAATGAAAAGCACTACATTTGCTCTATCTAATCAAATAACTCGAATAAAAATAACACATAGGTATATATAAGATTATTGAAATTTTTCGTGGAAAATTCAATTGTATAGTCAGCATGTGTCGCTCTCATATAATCGAAACTCACTTCAAAGACACTGGTCTTATTTATAACTAGAAAATTAACCTTGCTTCGCGGGGTGTCTCTGAGGACCACTCGAGAAAATCAATTATTAAATTTTCCCGTGAGAATGAATTTCCTGCAGTAAAAGATATCCTAAGTGTTGACTCGAAGTTATCAGAAAATTTGTTTGGTACTTTCGAAACAGGCGCACAGACAAATAAACAAAAGTTTCAACAATGATTATATTTGCGGTCTATATTTCGCACATAATACGTTACAGCCATAGTTTTTAAAAAATATTTCATGAACAGATTGACTTCGTTACAATTTTTATTTATTATATGTTTGGAAAAGATACAATTTTTCAAGTGACACAAGTACCAAAAATGTGATTTGATCTGTTCAATTTATTAGTAGGTGCTTGTATTTATTTAAGGAGAAAAAAGTACACCTACATACATATATTATATGCCAAGGTGCTAGTTATTCACGTACTCTCTCTATATTTAAAGATGGCACTTAGACCACGTACACATATATACCAAGTTTTCTTTGAAACCACATTTATTGTGAATGATTGTGTTTTTGAAGCTATTCGGTATAGCTTCAAATATAAACGGATTTCAGTGAAATTAGACATATATATCCTAGAACCACACTTAGCTTATTCTTATAAACGTACCGACAACTCGAGCGGAGTAGCGGGCAAATATTAGTAACAACATATCATAAGCATATCCAGTACAAACATTCATATCTTGCAATGCAAGTACGATCACTTATAATAAGCAGTTACCGACAAACAGACGGGAATCGAATATATGTTTGTTTGTATGTACTTATATCTTTTATTTCATTTAACATTATCACAAGATTGGAGGTAAAAGCTTGTATCTTTGGACCAATTATCTTTAATAATTGAACCAGTGATTCGTAAATTTGACTCGCTAAGGCTATTGTAGACGAGTTGGCAAGTTCATTCTGCTTCACTTATTCCAAACGTTTATAATTTCTCAATGTTGTTTAATTTAGAAGGAGGTACTAAATTCAGCTGTTTTTTTTATTTGTTCTGCTGTTTTTTTTCTTCGAATCAATTATCATAACTTTTTTACTGAAAAGGTCTCGAGGCTTTTCATATAGATTTAAAAAAATACACAAAGTCGAAGTAATTTGTTAATATTAGGTAATTTTGAAGGTGGTATACTGTTTTAGTAAAAATTATTTTTTTCGTGCAAAATATTCCTGGTAGGGGCTTCGATATTATACAGGGTGGATTTTTGAGACAGGACAATAAGGATAGGTACCTTAACTACTATAGTTACAGGAAAACGTTCCTAGGAGACCATTCATAACTTTTGAGATATTCTGAACTGCATTCACAGATTTTGAAAAAAATGTACAGTTAGCGAAAAAAAAGCTAAAACACAAAAAAAAATATGTCAATCGATCCTATTTCATGTAGATATCAAAAGACTCTATGGGACCATTTAAGGTATGAGTACTAGAAATCACAGAAATCGCCAAAAACTTTTCTCATACATTTTGCCCTTGCTGTCCCATCTCAAAAATCCAACCTGTATACAATAGAAGAAAATCTGGCTAAACAAGCTTTAAACTTCAGTAAGACTTTAGAAAGTACCAAATTAAAAAAAATAACTTGCTAGTACAATGTAAAATAGACAATTTATATCTGTAAATAATAATGTTTTTGTGTCTGTTTTTAATATCAAAATAACAGCTTTTTTACTAAATACTCATGACAGCATATACGGTACTTATAAGAAAAAAACATTTTTTTTAATTTTGAGTCTGTCCTAAACTGCTGGATCGATTTTGATGGGACTTTCACTGGCAGATAGCTGATGTTCTAAGGAGTAACTTAGACTACATTTATTATTTTTTTAAATAAGGATTCCGCAATAAAGAATCCATAAAGTTGTGAACAAAATGCTCGTGACTTGTGACGCCTCCGAGCAAAGCGGGCTTAGTCGCTAGTCCACTGAAATAAAACCAAGAAAAACAAACGCATATAAAAAATATACTTTATTGGATTCTATCCACACGAATAGACAATCAATAACAATAAAGTTATAGAAATCTCAAACATACAAGTTGATGGAATCAATTGAGTAAATTAAAAATTCTTCGAGATAAAGTCAATTTATGAAGCCATTTCTCTGAGAATAAAATTGTTTAACTGAATTTGAAATATCTTCGCCAATATTTTAGATACTAAATTGGACTATTTTGCATGATTTATTATAACTTATTGAATTATATAAAAAATCTGGCTCTATGCCTGCTTAAAGATCGTAAGTTCGATTCTAATATGAAATATGGCTTAATAGGATAGGTGATATTTTCAAAAATTTCTTCAAAAATTAATACATACAATCTATATATAAATAGGCAAAGAGAAAATAGTTCAGTACGTTTTTCTCCTCTGTTTGTCTAACGATTTTCTTTTCTTTTTTTATTTAAATCTAAACCATATAATCATGGTACACCGATTTTAAAATCACCTATTAACTTGGACACGTGGACATTTTTGTTAATTTTTTTTAGATACCACTCTTGCTGTGCACTTAAATTTTAATAGCAGTTCACGATCGACAAAATATACCCAAATGCTCCTTTTTGAAAAAGCTCAAAAATAGATCAATTCTTTCACTGTTATAATATTAAGATGGCAAAATTTGAGTGTAAAAAATATATATTTATATTGCCTAGAATACCTAGAAAATAATTTAAACACGACGAAATTCATGGATGAATTCATTCATATTCATTAAACCAAAATAAACATTTATTATTAAATCATTTAATGAACTTCTCCTTAAAATGTACGGAGAGAGAACATAAGATTTCTCTCTTGGTTCTCCGCTTTAAAAATAGGCATATAAAACCTGCAACCTAACAAAATAAAATCAAAAGAAACAGAAGTGGACGATATAATATTATAATTCATCTTATTATTTATGTTACGCGCAGCTAGTTTAGTCGAAGACATCGAGGGCCTTCGTAAAACCTTTGTGGTGTTCGTCTACACAGGTGCCAGGCAGCAGGAAAAGTATGACGACGAAAATTTCAACGTTTGGCGCGGGACTTATGATTTTCTCTTGTGTGTATAAATTTTTATTAATTACCGATAATATAACGATTAATATAGGGAAAGTGTTTCATTGTTTTACATTTATATTCCATCTTGATTAAAATCACCGAGAATAAACAACGGACAGACAAACGGACGTGACCTAATCACAAAGCTATGAGCCTATTCAAAAATAAAACATTGTTTAAAGCCCCATAAAACATTCTGACGAGAAACTTTATTTATGGACGTAACGTAAATATTTATTTGCATAAATTCACTGCAATTTTTCGTTTTAAAATGTTTTTAATGGACATCGAACTCGTCACTTCCAATTGCACTAGATGTAGCATGTGGTTTTGCTTGTTATTACGAAAATATTGAAACAGGCAAGGAAAAACTTTGTAATTCGACATTGTGACATTCACCCGACTACGGCGAAGACCAAAGGAGGGTTATGTGTTTAACATGTATGTACATACATTAAATAAGTATGTAGCTCCGAAAGTGATATACAGTCGGAGACATACATACACGCAGCAAGATTAACAACAAGGATAAAAAAATCTTAATACCTGTTGGTTTTAATTAACTTGTTTCTTTCTTTTTCATGGAGTCGGGGTTTTTTATTTATTTATTATACTACTGCCTGATTACAATATTGTTCTTTGGACGAGATAGAAATGAAAGGAGACTAATTTTAAATAGATTTTTTTCTTTAAAACATCAGGCTCATGCTATGAATTATAAATTACCTTAATTGTGAAAAAAAAAATATGAAAAAATATTAAATTAATTTTATTATGAAATACTATATTATTATATTAACAGCTGGCAGCGTATAAAAATATTTATAAAAATTTGAAACTACCCTCATTTCTGTTTAGAAATGTGTTATTATACTATTATATTGTACTAAAATTACCTAATTTATTTATTTTTCAGTTTGAAAAAAAAAACATTAAAAAATTAAAATTTCACAATACTTTCATTTCTTTCCTAGTAAATCTTCAAGCAGGTCTTGGTTACTCATGTCATCGTCCAAAAAGTTAGTCCTAGATTCGATTCTCAAACTTTTTCTTCCTGAAACTATACGTTTTTTTGGCACAGTCTCAGTAAAAACCTGTTCAGTTAACATTTTGAAATTATTATTTAGCTCTGTCAACGCTTCAGACGGTATGTCACCATTTTTGGTCACAAATTCATTCAATTTATCAATCTCTTGTAATTTTTCAACCAACTTATCACCTTCAAATTTATTCTGACGAAACTGTTTCATATGAACATCGATAACTTTGCTACTTTTTTCTATATCATGTATTATGTCTTTGCAATATTTGTCAATGGGTTTGTCTCTTTTATCTGTTATTAAATCTTTTTTAATCTGTATCTTATCTTCATCCGAATTCGGATTGTCATAGAAGGAAACTACAGAATTCATTCCTCTCGATTTCGGTCTTTCAATGACTTCTTCAATAGACTCTTCTGTGGACCGTCGTCTTAAAACACTTGGCCTTCTAGAATCTTCGTTATTCTTTATTTTATTCATAAGTTCTGTTTTCATGGCTTCCATTTTCTTTTCTAATTCTTCTGAATTAGTATTTTTGTCTGTGATAGTCAAATCTGCCATGCCTTCTTGCACTGTTTTTGCAATTTCGATTATTTCGTCGGAGCTTTTAGAGCTTTTTCTCATTTGGTTTGGTGTTGTTCTGTTGCTTGTTGAGTTTCTGCTTGAAATGTATCTAGAACGAGGTTCGGTCGAAGAGCTGGTGTCTTCTTCGTGTGATAAAGAACTACTGATAGTGCGAGAGTTTTCGCATAATTTTGCGAGCATACTTTGTTCGATTTGGGTCATCTGGAATATTAATGCAAAAAAATATTTTGATTTTAATATTTTATTATAAGTACGAGTATATTAGTTTTAACGCTTTAAATTCTATAAAGGATATGATTACTTTAATTGTTTTTATTATTTGCATTAAAATAATAGTTTTTTTTTTGTGTTAGAAGATATATTGTAGACATTATTTATATATTATCATACATTAGATCTTTCATCCCCTTTGCCATCTCGTCCATTTTTGCTGAGAGTTCGGGCCACGTTTGTAAACGAACCTACTTTTGTGGGGGATTTACCGCCTCTACTAGCCGCCGTGCTTAACATTTTTTCCTTTATCTGGAAAAGAATGACCTTGTTACACTCTACATATATCTACATGATAAAGCAGTAAATTAAATTAACAATATAGTACCGTTTATATAAAAATATTTTTTCGCGGATTTATTTTAATTTTTGGTGTCCGACTTTTCGATTGCATTACAGCAATCATGGTCACGGGAGAGACCGAGATCGAAACGTCAGGAGTCAAAAATTAAAATAAATCAACAAAAAGTTGGAAATAATGAATCTAAGTAATTAAAAATAATAAAAAAATCAGAATGGAGATAGTTTATCGTGAAGCAGCACGTAGACTTATTGTAATTTTAGTACTTATTTGTCAAAACCACCAATACTTGTTTGCTTGCTTTTATTATTGCTTTAGGATAGAGAGCTTTTCCTCTATACTAAAACCAAAAATTTGTTTCTAAAATTTATATATAAAGATACAGATAAAATACACATTTTTGGTTTTTTTAAAGTAAAATATGTATTTTACACCAATAAAATTGACATTTAAAAGTCAATAATTCTGTATTAAAAACTCTTTCGTTAAATTAGTCGATTGGACACATAAGAACTGAGACGACGTTATAACGTCGCATTTACCACGTAAGAGAAACCGTGAGCAAAATATATGATTCAGAAATTCATTTTCTGCTCTCAATACACAATTTACCTCAATAATAGTAGATAATTTATCAGCATTAGTAATAGCTAAATCTAGATCATGTCTTGTGTCTTTATGTTTGTTGATTTCAGCCTGTAATTGATGTTTGAAGTTCTTGGCTTCCAGCGCGATGCGTCGTTGTAACATACTGATCGTTTCGTTTTGTTGTTGGACTTTTGATGTTAGTTCTGTTACTTGTGCTTGGAGTTTTTCACGTTCTAGAAGATTCCTGTAAATATTTATGTTTCTAAATAAGGTATTAAGTATATATTTTTTTACCTATTTAAAAAAATAGTTATTAATATGTTTTATTTTATCATTGGCAGAATTGTCATTAATCAATTCAAAAATGATTACTCTTAACTGTTAGTTATAATAGTAATGAGGTTGTCAACCTAACTGATTTCAGCCACGGCGACCAATCTCGCTCAGAACACTAAGACTAGCCAACTGCGCAGGAGATATTATAGTGCACAGACACAGGGCGCTCTCTATTCTTATTAATCTCAAAGCCCGACGGGACCGGACTTCGACAAAACCGGTGAGAGATAAGACGCAGGACCGGGGGTCAAACACTGCCAATTTCCCAAGTCCGGACAGTTACTGGTAATTCCTTAACAGGAAGACTCACTAACTAAAATTGACTTGACCCGTGATTCGAACCAGGGACCTCTGAATGTGCACCGTACATGCTAGCCACTTACACCACCGAGGCAGTTAAATATAATAGTACGAAAAAAGAAAATCTTGTTAATCAAGACATAAATGAAAATATAGGAACAAGATAATATAACTCTGAAAAATTAGTGTATTTCATTAGACCCACCTATCTTTACTCAGATCCAGTAAATGCTGATGCTCGTCTCTTAACTGCTGTAGTTGCATGTCTCGCTCTTTCAACTTCTGCGATACTTCTTTATACTGGTGCTTCAGCTGTTTGTACCTGCTTTGTTGTACCCTCATCTCTTCGTTATGAGAGTTCAGCACTTGGGGCAGTTCCGCGTTAGAATTCTCGTATCTGGTGGAAGGTTGGAATTTGCTTTAATAATGTCTTTCTGACCGATTTCAGATGCGCAGAAGATATTATAGTGCACAAGTATACGCGCAGACACAGCATGCACTCTATATTAATAATCATTAATCTTTTACTCTCAAAGTCCGATGGGACGATAATTCGACTCGATTAGTGAGTGAAGGCGCAGGACCAATGGCTTTACGTGCTCTCCGAGGCACGGGGGTGAAACACCTCTCAACTCCGGGCTACTAATGAGAATATCTCAACAGAAAAACTCAACTGACACGGCCACAGACTCGAACCCAGAACCTCCAAATCTGACCCCGTACATGCTAGCCACTAGACCACTGAGGCAGTTAATTATAACACTTATATATTTTTAATCTCCGTTCTAAGAGATTTTTCCCTTAATATGCGATTTATATAAATAATATTATTAATATAACATTAATAATATTAATGCGAAATTTTCAAAAATGAATATGTGCGTGTTTATTTCTTACTTTATGCTACTTCAAGATATTACGGCTTTAATTTGAATTAAGTGAAATTCAAAATGGGTATAGATTGTACAATCACGAGCATAAATATTTGACCACTGATAGTTCGTGGGAGTCGAATATTAATGAATAAATAAGATAATATATAAATATAAACTATTGCCAAATCGTCCATGGTCATATATTTAAGCTCGTGACTGTACGTGTACCACTTTGCACTGTGTAGGTCTATTTTCGACATACTTACCATACTATTCTAATTTGTCTTATTACTTTATATTAAAAAATCTTAACTTCTATTAGAAGTTGATGATTTTATGGTATGGCTTTGCACCTTAAGACAACGAAGAGTGAGTACACTATAAATACGAACTACATATTAATTAAAAATTTGTATGTATATATGGACATCGATCAAAAAAGTACTAGATACACGATCCCATGTAAAAGTTCTCTTAAAACTGTCACCAATTGTGTTTAGGTAATTATTCTAGTTGAAATTATACAACAATGTAAATCGAACCTTAAATGCAATATGCTTAAAATTGTTTCCACGATAAAAATATTAAAAGCGCGCCCAAATGTTCAAATAAGCGCTCATTCGGTGAGGACATTTTTTGTCGCTGATTGTGTATCTAGTACTTTTCAAAGATTTTCGAGATTGAAATATATGGAGAATATGAATGATTCAATCATTGATTTACAAAAACTGAAGAAACACAAATAGCATCTTAATAATATCCTCAAGAAGAGTGCCCGATTCGAAATTAAATTGAGCGTTTTTCAGATCTCTTTTGTTCATTGCTTTTCGAATGACAAAATTAAAACGCACGTTGTTTCATTTAAAAAAGTACTTTATGTGGTGTGCATAAGTTCGAATTTGTGTTTAGACAATTGGAACTTTGGATTATTGAATTTTATTCTTTACGTCACATCTCGACGCCACTTATTGAAGAGATATTTGTTAGGTAATGTGTAGGTATGTATGTTTTTATATATAAGTGGATCTAATAGATATTTGTACCTTTGTAGGGCAATTTCTTGTTTTTTTTGTACGGCGCGTAACACTCGGTTCTCGTTGCTGAGCTCCTAAAATAAATATAGCGTAAATAATAAACAGTTAATAAAATAGTATCAATATGTTCTATGTTCTAAACAGAATTACTAGAGGAGATCCATCAGGCGGTTTATTTAAAGATCAGATAAAAAAACATAGTTAGTACCTACCTATATATATTATATTTTAAGTACATATATCTGTTTATTTACTATACTAGCGACTCACCCTCGCTTCGCTCGGGTTCGTCCCTGCTTACGTTTTAACGTTTAGTATCGATTTCTCAGAGATTATTTTCCCGCTGTAAAAAGTATCCTATATATTGACCCGGTTAGCCAGCTATCATCATAACAAATATAATCAAAATCCATCCAGTGGTTTTTCCGTGATGCGGTTACAGACAGACAGACAAAAATTCTAAAAACTATAGATTCTGCCTCTGTATCGATAATAATGACTATTACAATAAGATTTTCCAAAAAATATTTAATGTACAGATTCGGCTTAGTTACAATTTCATTATATATATATACCTACCTAGATTATCTTTAGTTCTATATACCTATGTATTAGTTACATTATATTGTTGCATGCTTACAATTAATGTGCTATGTTAAGAAAATTTTATATTAACGTTGAGTCAGTTTTTTCTTTTCAAATACTGTAATTAAGTTTTAAAGGAATTAATACAATATTTTTACTTAGAAGCTAAGTAAAAATATAACCCACTGTTATTTTAACGAATTATACGTTTTTAGATTAGTCTTGATAGCGCGAGTGTTGTGGAATATTATACCTAAGTAAATATTACTAAAAATTAAAATAGCAGATTTCAGGCGCCAATTAGTGTCTGGGAAAAAGAATCGTTCAAATCTATACTATATCTAGTGATATATCAAAATAAAGGATTTTAAGAAGTGATCATAAAAATATTCACAGCTTATACGTATTATGTTTAATAATTATAATTTAATATTACAAATTGTTAAATAAAATTGTTAAATGCAACTAACAACATTAACTAACTAATCATAACTAAAAATAAAATAATAATAAATAAAAAAAACACGACTGGGTAAAATGCTCAAAAATATGAAAACAAGTTAACGAAGAAAAATATGCAGTCGAAATTACTTAGCTTTTTGTTATTAGATATTAAGCATGTCACAATTTGCCACAATTCAAAATACTCACTTGTAAATGGTAATGTGCATCTGCCAGTTGATTTTGAAGCTGTTTAACTCTATGCGTCTTGGCTGAGAGCACCCTCTGAGTGACGTATCTGTCCCCCTTGCCTATTGACTGACTGGACATCTCTAAGGGATGACACCGCTTTCTCTTGTTAAGTAAATTCAATCGAGAGTTGCTGCTGTAGACGCTTTCCAGCGAATTTCTGGATAAAAATAGTTAATATACATACTAGTGTATTCGTTTGTACTTACTATTTAATTTATATAATTAAAACTAAATGCCTTTACGCTACGTTTGTTATTTACCCCATATTTTTTTTCTTTATGGTTTAGAGCTGCGTTTACTTACCCTAGCTTCGTTAGGTCGCATCACTGTGTGTGTTACAGATAGTGTCACTTATTTTCATTTATTACTAATAGTAACCGATTTGTTAGTCAAGTGGCTAGATAATAATTTATCTTTCTACGTATCAAATTTTATCCAAATCCGTCTAGTGGCATCGGCGTGAAACCGTAACAAGTTATACCTACCATTTCTATGCCAAAAATCACATTCAACCATCTTTACGTTAAAGAAGAATAATTAAACATTATAGTATTAGCAAGAATTATGTGACTTAGTGGATATTTACTAACATTAACTATCATATTAGATGTCACTGGTTCGAGATATTTTTATTATTTTTTTTTATTTATATTTATTCTTTTCTTGAAGCAAGGCCTTTGCATTAACTTGTAGAGTCTAAAGTCTACAATTTAACGCAAAGAACTTTAGCAAAGAGATTGACATAATATATCATGTAAAAATTAAGTTAATAATCTTATAGACCAATCTCATTCGTGTTTTCTCCATTCTACGTGATATTGGCGAAATAATTTGTACACTTTGAACCAATTAACAAGTACATTGAATTAAATTATTATTTATTTACCTTTGCAGTAGTCTGTTGGTATGTATGTATATAAAAATTCATTAGTAATAATTGTCGATTTTACTAATAGAAGTAATATGTTTTTGTTCATAAATTTATAACACTTGAGTGAGAAAAATATAACATAAACAAAAAAAAATTAAACATCGCTGTAAATTCCATACCTTTGGTCCCTCCTTTTATCTTCCGGCAACAAACTCAACACTGACATTATTTACAAATAAATCTCCATTTTCTATAAGAAAACAGTAAAAACTCTAAACTAATAAATATTTTCACAATTATTTGTCGTCAGTCCCGTTACTATGGCAACCATGTGTCAATCAATACGTCAAATTCGAAACTTCGATTGGCGTTATGCCTGCAACAAAAAGGTTTTGTTTGCAGCTCATTTTAATTAACTTCATTAGTTATTAAACAACGATTAAATCTTAGAAGACGATTTTAACGAACTTCCAACTGTCGTAGTTTTTTATGTGAAATCTGTATCGTATTGTATAAAACCCTTTTTATTAACGTGTCGCAGCTGGGTACGGACCTTCCTTCAATACAAGGATCATGGCATATCCATCACGCTAGCCAAGTGCGGATTGGCAGATTTACATGTCTTCCGAAAACTTGCTAGTTTCTCGCAGACGTGCAAGTTTCCATAAGATATTGAAGCGAAGTGGAAAAAAATATATAAATCTTCAGTGACTCAGTAGCTTTTGATTCGTCAGAGTGTCAATGTCTCAGGTCATTAGAATAAGAAACTTTAATATTTTTTAGGTATGGGTATAGTATATTTGTAATTTCTCGTCAGCTAGTCACTTTGCATGAGCAATTTTTGATCATTTGAATGTTTATGTAGAAATAATATACCAATCAACTTCAATAATGGAGATAGTTCATAAATCATTAAACGATATGTACACTGAATTTAGTGAGGCCTTGATAGTAATTTTACTTGAATATAAAGAAAATATTATACTTAAAAAGGCAAAGTATAAGACCTAACGTAAAGATAACTTATTAGTAACAAATTCGTTTCAATAAATGTTAATAGATGGCGTTATAGGTAGCGGATTATTGATGTTCATGTAAATTAAGTAAAGGACAATCGTTCCCAAAAAATGTATATCAGAATATTTGAATTCATAGATGGCGCTATTAACATTTTAGAATTGTTTCTATGGTTAAAGACGATAAGCCACAGATTTTTTTTCTACAGTTTACATATATAAAAACGTATTTATTATGAAAGAATTTAAAATATAATGTAATTATAATTTAAAATATTTTCGCTTTTAATAGGTAGTTGTTGTTTTTTTAATTTGTTATCTGTTTCTGGACCGAAATAAATAAAATGTTTATATATATTAAAATAGTTTAAATGTTTGTAAACCAACGCCATCTATTATATATTATTCAAACAAAATTAGTACAATTAAGGCTGTCCATTTTTTCCTATAGGTTCAAGGAGAAGAACAAAAGGGATCAAGCAGAAATGAAACTAAGGTAAAAAAGCAAGAAAATAAAACACATGTAACAATAAAATATTCTTATTCAACAGAAACTGTACAAAGAACCAACATACATTATTTACATTTACAATTTTATACAAGGTAATATCTATTTATAATTTATTTCGCTTTTTAACATTATAAATGATTTTTTTATTTTATTTTTTTTATTCAATCAACAACAAGTTCCGTTTAACGGAATCTTAATTTTTTTCACAAAATCAAAAGCATGTAAGAACTGTCGCACATTGAAGACTTTTCAACATAATACGTTATTAATTATAAAGTATGAATAAATATGAAATAAAAAACATTTTAAATTCCATTTTAGTATGCAATGTGCGCATGCACATAGTGCATAAACATATAATTAATTTCTTATCGAGGTAGTGATTTTAAAAATACTATTTTGCATATTTTTCGTTAAGAAATACAGTATAATAAATAAAAAATATAATCTAATATATAAATATCTCGTGTCACGGTGTTTGTAGTGGCACTCCTCCGAAACGGCTCGACCGATATTAATGAATTTTTTGGTATATTTGGTACGTATGAGAATAGGTCGTAAAGTATTTTTCACGCTCCTACCCCCACCTCCCATTTTTAATCATGTTTTTAGTATTTTTGTATGAACAATATTATATAAATACATAGCGACGAAGCCGAGCAAAACGAGGATGAGTCGCTGTATAACATAAAGCAAAAAGAGTTTTTTTTAGATTGAGCGCGGGCTAACCGCGGGTTCTGCTAGTATGTATATAAAAATAAATACATATACGGATTTCTATCAAAGCAAAGGATATATAGGATAATTATTATTATTGCTAATAACAATTCCAAAATTAACTTAATTTTATAGAAAAAAAGTATTAGCGCCAATATATGTATATAATGTATCAAAAAAAAGAAATAGTATGATAAAATATCGATATAAAGACATCACTACAACCTATTGAGATTGTAATAAGATCTTAGAATTTTACTATATTAATATCACACCAGAAACAACAAAAAATCTAAATGGAATTGAACCCGCACTATTTTCAATACTTTATTAGTCCAGTCGTTTTTCTTATTCATCATAAAATAAATTAAGCTAGACATTATTCGAATTTTTAATCGAGTAATACTTGACATGTCGATTAAAAAGGATATAATCGATTATAAGTATAACCGATTTATATTTAATTAGAGTTAGATAATAATTGGTTCGTACAATTTATATAAAATTAAGCTTTTGGTTTGGATTCTCTTTGACTATTTTTAAAAATATACCGATACGAATACTATAAACGGCCGGCATAACGCGCACTGAGCGTGACGTCACAGTCTAATATAATAAACAAAGCCAGTGTTGCCAACTTAGCGATTTTCTCACTAAAAATGACAACTTTTGCAATTTTCACCGCCATATATTTGCACTTTTTAATAATTATTTCTTTCATCAAAAAGAAATTACATTAGAAAATAAAGTTTATAAAAAAAAATATCACCTTTATTTAAATGACACGCGTATTATCTTTTACCTTTCATAAACTATTCGATGTAATGAAAGTAGTGATGTAAACATTTTATTTTCTCTGAATATTTTCAAACTCAGCATACTTATTATTACCAATTTCCAACGAATTTATATTTTATCAAATAAAACTAAAAAAACGATAATAAACACATTTACAAACAATTGTGACCAACTTCAAAAAGAAGAGGTGATCAATTATTCTGAATTTCGTTCACATACCAATTCACTTTGCAATTGACATCAACCAATGGTACCATCATGGTACCGAATGTGAAAAGTCAGTGAGCAACTCACAATTTTGGTACCGGATCCTTATTCTGTTTCTCCCATAACCTATAATACAATGAGGATTTGTTATTTATTAACTGTGCATGTGTTCCTCTTTCAGATATGGCACCATTTTCCAGTACCAATATTTCATCTGCATCCGCTACAGTTGATAGTCTATGGGCTATACATATTGATGTACGTCCCACTGTTGCTGCCTTCAGGGCTTGTAGGATGGCCTGTAAAAGATAAAATTTAAAATGCCAATTCAAAATGCTTGTAAATATATTTGAATAAAGTATATTTTGATTTAATTTGTAATTATTATATAGACAGTTTTCAATTAACGTTTCAAATGTTATCTACATATATAGATAAATAAAATTGAAGTGTTTGTTTGTAATGTTCAAATAACAGCTCTCAATGCATATATATACTAATATTATAAACAGGAAAGATTTATTTTTTTTTTTTTTGTTTGTTTGTTTGTACTGAATAAGGCTCCAAATCTATTGAACCGATTTAGATGAAATTCAGTATAAAATAGTTTGAGACCATAGGATAGTTTTTATCCCGGAAATCATCCCTTAAGGGGGAAAAAATGGGGATGGGAGTTTGTATGGGGAAGCAACCTAAGGACGAATCCGAGCGAAGCGAGAGTGAGTCGTTAGTAGGATTATATACAGTATTTATAAGAAAAATACATTTTTGAAGTAAAACTTCTTTAGGCACGCTTGATTTGGGGGGGAGTAAGCTGGTGAATTTGTTACGAAAAATGTACGTACGTTTGTTGCCATGGGAATCGTTGATATTGTCTGACAAATGATATATATTTATATTCTTTTCATAAATGATTTTTATAAATATATGCTTGTAATATGTCTAATATGCGTTATTTTTAGTATTTCACCTATCCTAATTATTTAAAACATAAATTGAGTTTCATAAAGAGTACCGATAACCTACAGAAGTTTTACTTCTTGTGCGTGTACACAATACACATTCATACACGCACTCTTTAATTTTTTTTTTTTAATTGAAATATTATGTAAGCAACTTTCCACCGTAATGGCTAAATTAAATAACATAATCAGTAACATGTTCAGTGAGCGAGTCCAGGCTGGAGGTGGCCTCGTCGAACACGATGATGGGCGAGTCCTTGAGTATGGCGCGCGCGATGGCCACGCGCTGCTTCTCGCCGCCCGACAGCTTCAGCCCGCGCTCGCCCACCTGCGTCGCGTAGCCCTGCCCACGCAGCCGCAGACATATTAACATTGTTTTATTAATTATATTCAGCCCTCTTTATCGTATACATATATAACATAGTTTTATTAAATGGATTCAATATGGTGGAGCGATTTTTTTTTCTTAGCTTGGGGGTAAAATTCTTGAAATTGTTTTAGAAACTGTAGTGTCTTCTTTAAAGTGAACTAAAAGTTATAAACGAAAAAAATATTTTCTGACCATTATTGCAATTTTTCAAAAAAGTTAAAAAAATATCATGTAATTTTTTTTTAATTACAGTGAAAGTTGAGTAAAAAGTGGCTATATTATTAATCAATTCTTCAATGTTTTCAAACATGACTAAAAGAAAAAAAAAACAATTTTTCATTCAAACCAAAAAATTTAACTAATTATTTATTTTAAAAATCAGTGGGTCACCAAAAACGAAAATTTAGTTTTTTATAAACTACACATTCTACACCAAGCTAAGTAAAAAAAAAAAAACAAAAAAAAATTTTTTTTCGCTCCACCCTAGATTCAACCCTTTTTATCGTCCCACGTTTGGTGAAGGATAATATCGTGAGAAAACCTGCATTTTTGAGAGAACCTAGGAAGTTTTCGAAAGATGCTCAGTCCGCCCGCACTTGGCCAGCGCGGTGGACTATGGTCTGAATGGCCTCCTGTTGAAGGGAGGCCCACCCCCAGCGGCGAGACGTTAAAAAGGACTGAACATAATGTTAATTTACGTCTAAACTTAAATAAACTTACTTATTATTGTATAAACTTAATTTTGTTTTAAAAAAATTTTTAAGGAAAAATTCCTTCTCTAAAATATTTCACATATTTTAAAGATATCTTGTATACTGCTTTGCAGTGTAACTTTTAAACTCCATATACCCTATATAATTACATATATAAAAATATACATCTTTATATATATACATCTTTATATATCTTCTGTGAGTGTGTATGTCACTGAACTTCTCTCAAACGACTGGACCGATTTTGATGAAATTTTTTGTGTGTGTTCAAGGGGATCTGGGAATGGTTTAGATTCACAATTTGAATAATAATTTTCATCAAAAAATTATTAAAAAAAGTTTAAAATTTTCAAATTAAAGACGTGTAGACAGGACAACGTCTGTCGGGTCCGCTAGTATATATATATTTATATAACATACCTTAGGCCAAGTGACGACGGAGTCGTGCAGCTCCGCCATTTTGCTCGCTTTGTACACTTCCTCCTCGCTCTTAGACAGATCTCCGTAGTGAAGGTTGTGGAATATTGTGTCATGGAAAAGGACACAGTCCTGGATAGAATAAACAATTTTATAGCACATCTATACAAATATCACATCTAGACATAAAATTAAAGTGCCTGTTTGTAATGTTTATCTTTTTTACGCAGTTTATACTTTTCCAGTATCAGTATACGTATAAGTATTTTTACTAAATAAATAAATTTCATTTCATTACAATGTCAAAATAACAGCTTTTAGCTAAATGCATATATGCAATTATATACGGTACTTAGAAGATCGAACGGACCGAGAGTAAGTCGTTAGTTAAAAATATATAGCCCAAAATTATTTCAAATAAAGTACCTTCAAAATTCTACATATATAATGTTTATCAATATTATACAAGTATGTACATAATATAAAGATGAAAACTTTGTTTGTCTGTACATGCAAATCCTTGAAGCTATGGGCCCGTTCAAAATTCTTATGGTTTTTATAAGTTATCTATATAATTTTATATAGAAAAAGAACCTCAAATCGATCGAACCAAATAAATTATGGTTGATTTTAAACCACGGAACGATCACTAGTTATTATTAAAACCTCCTGCGTTAGTGTCACTGAGAATGGCCGCCGTGTTCGAAATCGATCAGAACATTATAAATACATACTATATTACCTGTGGCACGATAGCAATGGCTTTCCGCAAACTGGCGATGTCCAAGTCCTTGATGTTCTGTCCGGCTATCGTGATCTCCCCGCACTGCGGCTCGAAGAATCGGAACAGCAGACGCACCATCGTGGATTTACTAGAATTAATTAACAAAAACCTTATTAGTGACTCTTTCATGTGTTACGTACATGATGACATTTTGTTGAGTACTGGCGTTTGATGCTTTTGATCATTAATATCGAGATACATTATACATACAACAGTAATAAAATTGTAAGTCCGCTAACTCATACTTGTCCATCATGGTGGGACTTCTCCTTTGTATTGAAGGGAAAGGTGGTCCGGAAGTGATCCGTGAGAGTGACATTTGTACTTCTCGAATAGAATAAAAAGATTTACAGGTTTAAAAGATAAAAAGAACAGAACAAACCCAATGAGACAATGAAGGAATGAACAATATAATTGTTTTTTATTAACAATAACCATGATTTTTTTCAGCGAGCTATACGGGACACTTTAAAATCAGTTTAAGATTTTTTTATTATATGTTATTGTTAATTCTTTTACAGATGACGTGAGATTTTCAATTATGCTCCCCTGAGATTAAATGAGATTTTACTGGGGCCCTACCGTTTTGCAATATATGTACTAAAAATGAGTGGATGCTGTGCTCTCACCCGCTGCCGGAGCCGCCCACGATGCCGACCTTCCTCCCCGCGGGGATGGAGAAGCTCAGCCCGTTGAAGATGGGCTTGCCGTTGATGTACCGGAAGCTCACGTCCTTGAACTCGATGGTGGCCGTCTTGGTGTCCACGTTCAGTTTGGGCGCTTGCTCCTTTTCCTGTTACATTTATGACAATTAAAATTTAAATCATTTTAAGAAATTCTTAACTTTCATTTAAAGGATTAATTTTCGAAAATAGTCAATAATGCTAATTTTCCAACACTTTATGTAATGAATCTGTACATATAATAAAATTGTAACTAAGCCGAATCTGCACATTAAATATTTTTTGGAATATCTTATTGAAATAGACATTATGTTATCGATACATCGGGGATAGATGCTGAATCTCTTATTTTTAGAATTTTTGCCTGTCTGTCTGTCTAACAGCATCATAGAAAAACCACTGGAGGGATTTTGATGAAATCTGGTATGATGATTGCTGGTTATCCGGGTCAACATATAGGAATACTTTTTACTACAGGAAAATATCTCATCTCCGAGAAATCTATACGAAACATTAAGTGAGTTGCTAGTTTATTATAAATAGAATAATAATCAATTATTAAATACCAAATACAAAATTTATATTATTAAAAAATAAATTTTATAAAATTGTATTTGCCGACAATTTATTCATTTATCACAATCTAATTTACAACATAGCATAAATGAAGAATATTTCGTAACTAATAACGACGTAATGATAATCATATAAAAATAAAAACCAAAGAAATGTTTCCATGATTAGGAGTGGGTTTTTTTTTAAATTATGTATGACCTATCTAAAAAAAAATGAAACTCGAAAAGCCTTCTTTCTCTCCTGACCTTCTGACTTCATATTCAATGACATGACATTGACTTGATATTGACAATGACGTGACATCGACGTGACATCGACAGTGACGCGACTCACCCGCACGCGCGACTCCAGCGTCATGAGCGTGAACATGGTGTGCATGTCGACGAGCGCCTGCCGCACCTCGCGGTACACGGAGCCCAGGAAGCCCAGCGGCACCGACAGCTGGAACAGCAGCCCGTTCACCATCACGATGTCGCCCACCGACATGTTGCCTGCACACAAAAACACGCTATCAAATATTTTACATTATACATACTTTAAATTAAACTATCTTTTCGCATATGTTCGCTTGTTTATTTTGATTTCATCATGATTGATGTAAAGCATTCAGAACGTCGGGGAGCAAAAATCAAAATAAATCTGCGAGAAAAAATCGAAAATATAGTTTTGTTTAAAATGTCAAATATTTGAGTAATTCTAAGAATGTTTCATGTTTCTTATATCATAACTTATTGTGGCTATTTTGATTTTTTGATTTTTGGTTCCCGACATTTCGAATGCCTTACAGCAATCATAGTCACAGAAGAGACTAAAGTTTTAGATGTCTCAAAAGTCATTATATTGTTGCTACAAACAGCACATACCCACAAAATTATATAATTATTTCCACCAAAAATGACACCAAAACACAATATTTGGTCATTATTAATTTTAAACTATTTTTTGATGAATCGATTTGAGATAAGCCCAATGAATATATGTTTCATACACTGGACCTACCTCGACAGCAGCTAAAATGCTTTACAACTTTAAATTTCAATAGTGAATACTAATTGTAACGTTTGGTCTATTATTTAATGTAAATTGTTATAGTATTTTATGTATTCAGGGAACTATGGAAATGACATTTTCGTCTTTTGCATAAAAATACTTTTGTCACAGAACGCCTAACAGATATGGAACATCTAAACTATTTTGTACAAAAAAAATATGCATGGCGGGATGGTTTTTAAAGGCAATAAATATGACAGAATTAAAAACAAAATATTGAGATTTTTTTAAAGAAAAAAATATCTTAATTTGAAAAGCACAAAGCATGTACGGTAAATGTATCGAGTATACAATAGTGTTGGATAGAAACATTACACAGCTCGTACAGACATGCAACAAAGAGTAGAGTATAGGCGAGCACACATAAGAGAATTGAGAGCAGTGGTGTAGAAGTATTAGGGCGTCGTGCCGTTTACCGTCACGGCATACGAGTCGGTTTTACTGCCAAGGCGCACCAATAGATGTTTCACATCGAAAAAAAAAACGTGTGTGTACTTATGCACGCACGTAAGAAGTTATACTTCTTTGGCGTAACAAAACAAAAGTAGCTTAAGGATTCATCCCGTATGTCACAACTTTTTGTTTGTAAAAGGAACGATAAATTAATAAAAATAAATATATATTTTTTTATCTCTACTAATATAAAACACGATGTGTTATAGATTTATGAATATTTGAAAAACTACTTTGAAATATAGTTATAAGTTTTCACGGAGAGACAGTCATCAGCTAAATTCATCATGTCGCTTTTTGGCTGTCGGTGTGCGCGCGCATCGTAAAAAATAATTTTACTCTCATAATTTTTTCCACACCTGCCAAAAAAAAACGAAAACAAAACAAAAAAGATAAAAAAAACAATGTATGTGACCTTTAGCGACCTCGTTGGCGGCCATGACCATGATGACGCTGAGGCCGGCGCTGAAGATGGCGTGCTGGCCGAAGTTGAGCGCGGCGAGGCTGGAGGCGGTGCGCAGCGACGCCGCCTCGTACGCGCGCAGGCTCGCGTCGTACTTGGCCAGCTCGTACTGCTCGTTGTTGAAGTACTGGAAATTCACCGTGCCCAATAAATGTTCAGTGGTCGTATCCATGTCTTGACTACCTGACTATCGGACTTGAAAAAAAGGACCTCCTCGTAAAAATTATATTTTTTGTGTAATTTTTTTTAAGTGGCACGTACTAGCACACCCTGGGCACATTTCAGCACATTTTCCATTTCTTAGAAATTCGAAAATTGCGGGGTCAACATTATGGACATATCTTCTAACTCCAATAACAGATCACTATTTTTTTACATAAACTACAATCATTTAGATATAATTTACCACAAAAAGATGTGGAATACTGCTTTTTGATGTCATCCATCCATATGTTCTTACTATCTTTTATAAAGAATCTTTTAATGGCCAATTGATAAGGACAGAAACTAATCAGAAATAAAAACATTTACTCACTTTAACAGTTTCATAGTTAATCAACGAATCCACAGCTTTATTCCCGGCTTCGTTTTCAGCTTTGTTCATGTAAACCCTGAACTTAGTCCGCCATTGTGTGATGGCGAGAGTGAACGCCGCGTACACGCCAACACAACTGAATGCGACACCTGAAAACAATAACACATTTTTTATCTATATATTTTGTATTTTATTATAATATCTACATTATATTAATAATAATAATAATAGTAAAACTTTAGAATTGTATATTTTTTTACTTTAATAATAATGATTTTAGAAGTAAAAGGATGCCCGGAAAATAGTGTAATACTACGCGTGAGTACATCCTAGGTACGTTTTTTTTTTTCAGCGAAATCCTAATTCTTTTTCTAAAATAAAAGTAGCCTAATTTACTCCTTATAACATCAGCTATCAGCTAGTGAGAGTCCCGTCAAAATCAGTGCAACTGTTTCGGAGATTAGCCGGAACAAACAGACAGCCAGACATAAATTTTAAAAATTAAGTTTTTCTTATAAGAACTGTATATAATAGTACTATATAGTAAAAAGCTGTTATGTTGATATTACATACAAACACTTCAATTTTATTTATCTGTATAGATGTATAGATCAAGAAATAAATCTATATAATATGTTTATAATATACATTTCACCTGCGAAAGCCAATCCCCCTTTAATTCCCAAAATCATAGAAACTAGGGACAGCTCAAATATCGTCGGCACGATGTTGAACACCATGGCGGACAGCACGAAGTTTATTGCTCTCGAACCTCTATCTATCGTCTGAAACACAATCCGTACTAATATTATAAATGTGAAAGTGTGTTTGTTTGTTTGTCCTTCTTTCGCATCGTAACAGAGTGACAGTTAAGCGTGAATTTTTGTGTGGAATTAGTAGAAGGTCTTAAGAGTAACATAGGCTACTTTATACCGCGGGAAATCACCTCATTCCCACGGGAAAATACGTTAAAATACAACCCACAATATTATACCTATGTATATATATAATATACAGTCAATCTATTCCATACTAACCGTTAAAACATACCTAGGGATGGGAAAAGCAAGGGTGAGTCGCTAGTAAATATGTGTTATAACAGCCTATATAATGATAAAAGCAGAACTCTGGTACAAACTAAATATATGTATTTAATTTTCGTTCAACTCACATTTATCAATTGCTCAACAGATGGCGACACTTAGTCTATTTACAAGCCTTTAGCCTTTTTAACTTACAATGTTTGTTAGTTGGTTTGGTTGTTTGGGTCAACCCAAATCTTGCAAGCGGAATTAAAACGACTTTCTCTTATCCTACAGAGTTGAAATTTTCACGCTCCAAACAAAGCTACTCTTCGACATTTAACTCAAGGAAACAGGTCATAGTCAACAAAACTAGTTCTATTATACATACAGTCCCTTGTTATCTCTCAGTCTTCTATCTCTTAGTCTCTTACCGCTATACAAGTGGTAATCATGTTAAAATGATGATATTACAGGTACCAGATCAGGATTCAAATCAACCTTATTTGATTTTGTAATGCAAGTACATTATCACTCTTTTATAAACAAATGAATGAATGAATTTAAGATTTATATCCCACCCTCGGTCTGCTTGGGTTCCTCCCTAGTTATATTTTGACGTTTAGCATTTGTTTTTTTGTTAGCAACATTTGTCAGAGATGAGATATTCTCCCGCAGTACAAAGTAACCTATATATTGACCCGGATAACCAGTTATCATCATACCAAATTTCATCAAAATCTGTCCAGTGATATTCTCGCGATGCGGTCACAGACAGAGAGACAGACAGACAAAAATTCTAAAACTATAGATTCAGCCTCTGTATCGATATAATGACCATTTCAAAAATATTTTCCAAAAAATATTATATGAACAGATTTGACTCAGTCAGACTTTTATTATATGTATATTGTCCAAAATAATGTCCAACATTAATATATCCCAAACACAACTATAGTTTCTCTAAATAGAATATTGTCTATGACAATATAGAGAGATAATAGCAGAAATAGTGATGTCATTACACTTATCAAAGTTATCGAATAAATCGATTATCATTACCTTAGACAAAGCACCAGTCTGTCTTCCCAAATGGAAGCTAAGGTCGAGATTATGTAAATGCGTGAAAACATTACACGCTAACTTCCTTATGGAATGTTGAGCGACCTTCGCAAATACTGCATTCCTTAACTCGTTGAAACCCGCTGCTGTGGCTCGGGCTATACCATCTGTAATACAAATATTTTATTTTGTATTTAACCTTTTTTTATACTGGACACGAACCTGCCTTCCTTGCGATGGGGATAAAGCTATAGTCCACCACGCTGGCCATATGTGGGGCAGACTGTACATGTCTCTCGAAAACTTGCTGGGTTCTCTCAGACATGCAGATTTCATCGTAAGACAGTGGTAATGTTGGAAATGATTTGCACATGAAAATATCAGAGGTGCAAGACCCGGATTTTGAACGCACTTTACTCAATTTCATTTCTAAGCACCAAAATTTTATTTTAGTATCGTCTAGGAATTGGAACCTTTATGTTATGAATATTTTATATAAATGCTTTACTTATTTATTTAATATGTAGCTATTTCTTTATTTTATTTGTATTTTGTTTTACTAACATAGTTCTTAAGTAATTATTGTACTAACCAACTATGAGCCTATGTTGCTCGCTAATAAAAGATTTTTATTTTATTTTTATTTATTTATTTTACTTATTATTAACAATACTTACACCCTACTAACAAACTGAAGGCTGTCGTTCCAATGGCCTGCGGCACAGTAGCCATGCCAAGTAACGCTTCGCCTGTCGGTGTTACTGTTAGCTGGTTCACTTCGTCCACTGCATATTTGAATAGAAAAGGCACCGTCACATTCATCACTTTAGCTCCAAACAACAGTGAGAGGGAGACCATTACACGATCCCTTATCATTTTATTGTCCTGGAAAAGTTTATATCAATTTCATAACTAATGAAGTTTTAATACAATAGAATAAATTAAATATTGCTATTTTTGAGGTTCTATAGATTTAATGTAAACAATGGTCATTTTTTCTAAATTTGATGGAAGAAAAGTTCTTTGTAAATTCTGCAATTTCATATTATAATTCTATTAATGTATTATAAATGTGAAAGTTTGGATGGGTGTTTGTTACTCAATCACCCCAGAATGGCTAGATCTGGATGAAATTTGGCATAGAGATATATTATAGTTTGGAAAGCACATATTTATCCCGGAAAAATGTTTGGTGGGAACCACGGGAGTGGGATAGATTATTATTTTTTCACTAGCGGACCCGAGTGGAGTGAGGGTGAATTTCTAGTACAGTATAAATAAATAAGTTTTAAATTTCAAACTAAACAAAATAAATATCAAGTTTTACATGTCTTAATTAGCTATATTTTTACCAATTTGTATTTGTTTTGAATTAAAAAGTACAATATAATAATAATAATATTTCTTAGATTTAATTATAAGTAATATGAAGTTAAGCCTACCTTTGGCCACACATATGCCATCATCCCTCTCACCATGTCCATTCCAGTAACCGGCTTCGCATCCCCCAAGTTTATATCTTCACGATTCAAAACAGAGGCGCCTGGATGAAAGCAGTCTCTCTTTTGTATCCCTAAGGACGGGAGACCATATCAGGATATTGGAAATGGGTACATGACTACTACAAAATTTTCTTTTTTATATATTATAATACTATTTACATAATCTCATTTTATGTGTTTGTTAATATGTACTGCAACATATGCATTTAAACATGTTAAAAAGTCCAAACTCTTACAGAAAATATGAAAAATTAAAACATCACACTAATGCAATTCAAATCTAATTAATGCAAGCAAGAATTTATCTACAAATAAAGTGATTATAATAACATATTTTACTAAAACATTGATACTATTACATCATGTACCCTAATGGAAAGCAAACATAGGGAGGGATAAGGCAGAAGAGGCTATTAAGGAGCGCACAAAATTAGGCAAAGGGTATGAGAGACTGATTCAACCAAGCTTTTATGATAAGACAACAGTAAAATTTGGTAACTAAATGAAACATAAAATACATTAAAAAGTGCATTTAGTGACATTACACAAAACATATATACAGCATAGACAAATTCATAAACATGTATAAAATGATTGAAGTTACTTTTAAAGAGACTATTAAGTAATAATCAACTATATTAAAACTTATTGTAATAAATAACATGTAATATTACATTTGTTGCAACTTTTAAATTAAATTCATTTTTTTCAATACTAATGGTTATGTTTACTTATACTAATATAAATCAAGCTGAAGCTGATTTTTAATGAAACTAAACATATTTTATAACATTGTTATTACAGTAACTACAGTAACTTCAAGGTCAATTTAAAATTACGCAACAAACTAAACGAAACACAAGTGTGAATATGTTTGGTAAAGACAGAATTGATAAAAAAATATATTTGAATATTAGTTCACGACTTACCAACTGGAATTTTCCCAGTTTTTGGCTTGTTAGCCAAAACCGCCGCCAAAACATTTTTGGCTGAATCTTGTCCAGCATTGCTTGGCGGAGATGAAGAATAAAACTAAAAAAATAAAAATAAACTAAAATTGTAACAAAATTTGGAGACATTTAAGAATATCTGAAAGTCATAAATTCGCTTATCACAAAATTAAATCGTACCCTGTAATAGCTTGTGGCAGCACATTGATTACAAATTATACTAATATAAGGTTTATTTAGAATCACTGATCTATTGTTTAAGAAAAATTTGGTGAATTTTATGTGACTTTTTAATATTTTATCAATTTTTCTATTGGACAGAAGTGCCGCCGCCATGGTTGTTTGCACATTGACATTGACAACAGACTGAAAACTGACAAATTATATGATTGACAAATTGACATTAAGTAATTGTCATTGGATTATATTATCATGAAACAGTTTAGTAATAATTCCTAACCTTGAAATATTTGTTAGTTTAAAACACAAGTTAGTTTTGTAAAAAATATTAAATGATAAAAAATCTAATTAAGTTGTTCATTTCAAAATTAATGTAAACCTTACAGGTATATTTCTATGGAACAATGAAAAATATTCATTGGTGGAGAAAGTGGAACACACGGAACAGAAAAAACAAAGGAAAGCAATTTGATGGCCTTTGTATCGGAACCTGTACCATCAAACCACGGAAAAGAAAAATGTAAAATTTTATATTCTAACATGTACCTACATTCCGCTTTTTGTCCAGAGATGGCGGTATCGTTATTGCACTATGAAAAATACTATTTTGTACATTTTAAGATTGACCTCCGCAATTCGCATCTCAGTTTTATATACTGTTACCAGGGTATTATTATATAATAACACTAGCAGAACCCGCGGCTTCGCTCGCGCTAAAACTACAAAAAACTCTAAAATGGTAGGTTTCATACGAACTTTCATCCGCTATTTTACCCCATTGGGATGAATTTCGAAATAATAATACTAAAACACGTATTTAATTAATTGTATCGAAGAGTATTAATACTAAGTTTCAAGTAATTCTGATCATAAATATTTTTTTGGATTGTATTATAAACTGTTTTCCCGTGGAAAAGAGATAATCTCCCGCGGTAAAAAGTAGCCTATGTCACTCTTCAGCCCTCCTACTGTCTCAAAAAAAAATCACGCCAATTCGCCAAGCCGTTCGACGTGAAAGACAAAAAAAAACAAAAAAACATACTTTCACATCTATAATATTAGTAAGGATTACTGTGCCTTACCGTGCCGTTACCGCTACTTAAGTGTCGTTACCGCTACTCAGTGCAGTACCACATTGAAATTTCAATTACAAGCTTTTCGATATCGAAAAATATTTATTTATGATATTCTAATAGATATTTTGAAACTAACTACTAACACTTATATTTTTAGAGGATTCAGAAGACGCATATCACGTCATACGCCACACCTTCATTAATCTTATGATTAGAGAGCTGCGAGACGTCGATGCGTGGTTAAATGCGAAAGTTTAGTCTGGGGCATCCCATAAAAAAAATGAGCACTAGCCCTAGTAGTAGTTTTGTACCCTGTGATACACCACACAATCAACTAAATGTATAAAAATACCACCATAAGATGGGTAAATTATTTCATTATAACTTTTTAAACTGATTATCCCTTAAGGTCCATACAATGATTTCTTATTTTTGCCCCAATATAATTGGGCCACCCATTCAGTACCTAACAGACAAAAACTTGGGGCATTATTATTAGATTTACTGATATTAAAAAAAAATCTAGTGAGGTTTTGTAAACAAAATTTAAATAATTACAACAAATCACATCCATCTAACATTTAATAAACTTTTCTAATATACTAACATACTGACACATAAGATCTATACAGTTATCTAAAATAAAATTTTTACTATACTTACTTAATTTTTCAAGATTATTTTGTATGACTATAAGTCTATCTTTGACCATTGGCTTTATAAAATCTATTAGGACTCTATCGTTGGAACAAATGGCAGCAGAATATATTAATCTACTTATATCTATATCTTGGTTATAATAATACTTAATAACCATTAATAAACCATAGAAATTAAAACTTAGGCCTCTTAAATCAATATATAATTCATGATTTAATCTATGATTGTATATAAATGTAGTTTGATCCATTGACATTTTGATACCTCTTTTGTTTAAGAATGTTGTAACTTGATCAAAATCGAATGATACAAAATCTATATCATTTGATGGTAAATAAAACCCATATTCGGTAATCAATTTTAAATTATGACTATCACCATAGCATATAAAAACTTGTGTATATGGATCAAAATCATTTTTAGTATAAATAGAAAATCTGACATCTGAAAATATATTCTCATTTATTCTAGTTACTGGTATATTAACCACTTCTTTGTTAACAAAGAGTTTTGTTTCATTTTTTGTATTTGGACTATGGTTGATCATATCCAAGTATGGGCATAAAGATATTTTGGTATTGTCATGAATTAATGACAAGATAGAACTATTAACATCATCTAAATCAATTACTTTTGTTAAATCCATATACACACATCTTGTATTCACTGTGAAATATGCCCATTCATAATGAGGCATTGTAAAATATTTTTCTAAATTTTGTACTGGACTGCTATTACTTATAGTTTTCTGTAAAATATCCTCAAAAATATTAAATGAACTCTCAATAATATTTCTTTGTTTCTTAATCACAGATAGTATTTCTTCATCTATATAGCATTTCATATCTAATGGTAAAAAATAAGGAACAGTATATACTTTAGGCAAACTTTCTAGATAAATGTGCCATTTTGATTCAACTCCCTGTGCTTTTAAATATACTAAATAAAATGCCATTAATGACTGGAATGACACTTTTCTTCTATATGACTCTAAGCATGGAACTTTGTTATTTAAAAATATACTACAAAATACAACATCCATTAGTAAACTAGTCACATTTATAGTTAAATTAAGTGGTAAATTAATAAGTTCTTCTCCCGCATTAATTTTCTTTTTCGTAAGAACACCTCGACCGGTATCATTAAATATAGCTAGCACAAGCTTTTTATTATAACGAACACCTTGTTTCGAGAGCCATGAGTTGAATAATATCAAATCCTTTTCATTATTGCACGTGAAGAAATTCAATAAGCTTTTGTGTCTTCGCTTCCTTTGAGTTCTCCCCATTTTTTCTTTTCAATTAATTGATATCCGTAATTGACTTTATGTCATAGTTTTATGTTAAAACATTTGTATTTTCTTTATTTACAAAATACACAGTTAAACATTGGTGACCATCATGCATAGAATTTAAAAGCTGAAAAGTCACAAAGTGTAAATAAATCAATTGAGTTTGTGCTTTGTCTCAGAATCTCAGTTTTAAATAGTAGTCTATACTCTATAGTCTATAGTCTATACGTATTCTATGCTTTGTCTATCTTAATTCTTAAATGACACTTGACAGTGACATTATGGTGACCATAAAACATTGGACATGCATGGACACCTGTGCGCCTAGCGAAAATTACCATCAGGGACCATTCCTCATGTGAATGTGGCTGTGATGAAGGTATTCCCACTCATATCATTTTTAGCTGCCCTAGACTCCTCCATCGTATTTATGATGTTCTTCTCCTCAAAGCCCCCCGTCCCATTGATGTTTATTGTTTATTTAATGTTTGTATTTAGTCCTCTATGTAAATTTTTATGTAAATATATTATGTGTAGTGGAGTTAGATTATAGACTAACATTTTTGTATACATTCTACGTAACATTTTTTTTGTGGTAGTCCCCTGCATTCAGTAGCCAAACTATAAGCAGGTAGGTTTTAGTTAAAGGGGAAGATTTCTCGAAAAGATGCCACAAGTATGGCCTATTTACATTCAGTCGGAGGTTTTGAACCCTGCCGGTGCCTATAGGCACCACCTCGCCCGTTGCACTTTTATCACATAATACAAGATGAGATCAGTGTATTTTATGCTAAATAAGTGATACATGCAAACTTTAAAAGTTTTATGAAGTAGGTATATAAAAAAAAAAAATTAATTAAGCAATTTACGGGCCCATTTTTTCAAATTTCACTAGACATCGAGGAAGCAACATTGCACTCTGACCTTATAGATTTGCTGTGTTTTGTGCTAATTTTGTTAAAAATAATTTTATTGTTATTATTTTTAGTTATTCTTAAAATTATTTTTTAATTAATTTCATTGTAATTATTTTTAGTTATTCTTAAAATTATTTTTTAATTAATTTCATTGTAATTATTTTTAGTTACTCATTAAAATTATTATTTTTTAATATAGTCAGTGTTTTATTTATAAGAATTATTTTGATTTCTTCCAAAATTCAGCCTTTAACTTACAACAGATAAGTTATAAAGTTCTTAAATAAATATTGTAGTTATATTACTAAACTATGTTGTAATGTGTATACAGTGAGTGTCAACTGTCACTTCAATTTCATGCGGTGTCCTTGTCCGGATGTCATTTTGAATTTTATTTGTCATCCATGATTTTGAATACGAAATTCGTTTAACGGTTTTGTATGTACTTATTCGGTATAATATTAATTTATTGCTAACTAATATAATTTATCACCTAATATTTTACATATATAAATAGTGTGTGTGTGTTATTGTCTTTTTTCAATAAGTAAACTAAAATGTCGCAACAACAAACAAAGAATTCTATAACTCTTCGTGGATCAGCTCAAATAATTTGTGAATATTTGAGTAAGTTTCTAATATTAACAAGTAATTTATTATTTAAGCAATAAGTATTTATTTTAGTAATTTATTATTTTAATTATCATAAAAAAATAGATTTTCTTTATTAATTATGTTTATTAGTAACTGCGATATTTAAAAGTGTAATTGATGAATTTCTCGCCGGTTTTTCTCAGCAGAACTGCTTTCTTAGCCGGTGATAGCTTCATCACGGTCTGACCACGCTGACGCTCTTAAAATTTTACAATTTAAAAGTGCTTATAATAAGTATTTGAATGAAGTTTCATTTAATTTCATTTTAACTATTTGTTTACTTTTCAGAGTTTGCTATTAACTCAGTTTTGTTTCAAAGAGGATTATATCCACCAGAGTCATTTAAAGCAGAACAACAATATGGAATGACATTACTTATTTCAGAAGATCCTCAAATCAAGAATTTTCTCTCAAATCTTTTATCACAAAGTGAAGGTTAGTATTGTTTAATATTTGTCTGATTTAAATTTACCATAACTTTGAGTAGCTTATGTCATTTTGAATACTTTTATCATTTTTAAAGTAGTGTAAGCTACTGGGCTGGATATATACTTACTGTTAGTGTAGAAATAAAAGATATGTGTGATGCAATTCTATTAAATTATCTTATTTAAAAGTAAATAAATAAATTCATTAGATGTAATTTTATTATATTAGTTAATATTATGTCTTTCAGAATGGATAGTGACAAAGAAAGTCAACAAATTGTCACTTATAATACTTAATGTTGCAAATAAAGAAGTTTTAGAATGCTGGGATTTCAATGTTCAATATGAAGATGGGGACATAGAATTATCTAAGGAGAAAAATGAAACAGTTGGTAGTAAAGACTTAAAGAAAATCAAACAAGAAATAAGAGATGTAATGTTGCAAGTTGCTGCAACTATATCATTCTTACCGTTACTTGATTGTAGGTGCTCATTTGATGTCTTAGTTCATGCGAAAACAGATTGTGATGTTCCAGAAAAATGGTCGGAAGCAGAGCCTGTAAATATTACAAATGCCCAGAATGTTCAGTTGAAATCATATTCAACGAGTCTTCATAAAATGGAAACGGTTGTTAGTTATAAGCTTGTGGATTGATAGTTTGTAAGTTGTTTTCTATCAGTTTTATACTTTATAGGTTTTTGTAAGACTGAATTTTAGTGAAGTGACAGTTATTCATAATTATCAATAAAATAAGTGCTCATATTGTGCTATCATGCTAGCGGCTCACCCTTGCTGCGTTTAGGGTTTGTCCCTACACATAAACAAATCTATCCCCCAGGAACCGTAAATTTTTCTAGGATGACATATGTATAGTCTATAGTCTTCCTCAATAAACAGGCTATCTAATGCAAAAACATTTTTTTAAAGCTGATTAGGAGTTCCTGAGAATGGCACTTTCAAACAAACAAACAAAAAAACAAATTTTGCCTTTTTATAGTATTAGTATAGATTTGTATTTTAAGAAAGCCTACTTGAAGCCTACTTTTAATGCAAATATTAGATGTCTATTGACTTTTTAACTGCTTGTTTGTATACCACCATTTGTATTTTACAGAACTTACAGGTTTTAATTCTTTAGTCTACCTGATATTGGTGAAGTAATCTGTGCTTTAGGCTCTGTCCACACTGCGAAATTTCACCGCGGGATTTTTATTCTCGCGTATTATATTCTGTGATCGGAATGACAATATTATTATGCACTGCGAATAAAATTTCGTACGATTTTTGTCAGTTCGATGTAGTTTCCGGCTGAGTAGAACTAAAATGAATAATAAAAAAACTTTCATTTACCTGATACTACGGCGGCGTCACATTTTTTTCATCACATTTTTTTTTCGAGTGAATTTTTTACAGAATGAAATTTTATATCATATACTTGTATATTTAATATCGCAGTGCAGACAGGGTGTAACGGACAATTAGAATAGTCATTTTTTTTTTAGATTTTACTTTAGGATTTGCCTTACTATTTTATGATCTTGTATTATTAAAAAAATAACTAATTCAGTTTCATTGAAAAAACTAAAATTACAAATGGATTTTGGGTGCATCTTTACATGTTTATTTATAATATGTTTTTAATTTGCTGTAAAACATTTTAAAAGTTCATACTTGTTTTTTTTATTAATGTAGACTTATTTTAATTTATAACCTGTGATAGTACAATAGGTTAATAACCATTATAATAATAAAGTTTGTCTCCAAAAATTTCTGCTTATTTAAATTGTATACTTTGAACTTACAAAATTCATTTGGCAATTAAATTTTGTTCTAAACTCATAATTTGTTTTCCTACGAAGTATATACTAAGGGGTTTTATTTTAGCTGTTTATGAGTGTGCATGGTTTATCACTTGCTATTATAAAAGCTTGAATGGTTGTCTGAATGTATGTTTGAGACAGACAACCTCGTGAGTACAAACTTTTTTAAAACAATATACCACTAAAGTTATTTAAAACGGGATATTTACGATGTTTTTTTTTAAATCTACTAAATATCCTAGTTTTAAATAACTAGAATTCTCTATTTCTGTGATGAGAAGGTGGGACCACCTTGTGCTCCGTCAATCCCTACCTAGTAGTTAAAGGGCTGATTTCACTGGTAAAAGTGAGCAATTTACTGCATTTTGAGGAGCTATTCTGCTCATCACGCCGAAGATCCTAATCAGATATACACCAAATTTTTATGAGACGAACTTATAGTTACCACCTTTCAAATAAAAAAATAACTTGAAATCGGATCTCAGGGCTTCCCTTTTTGCCCCTTTATGGAGGAAGTACCCCTCCAATCAAAAATTACCGACGACAAAAAAATTCTATAAAGTATGTATACATAATAATTGTATAGATACGATCTGTAGAGGAGTATCAACAAACTGATAGAGGAAAGCAAATTTTGCCAAACTTGAAGCAGAGATGTTTTGCTCGCTCGGTCAATTAAATTGTATTGTGAAAAACTTATATCTACTTTGATTATAGACACTATATACTTTTATTTATACTATATCTACTACTATCAATAGTTCATTTACCTTTTTTTGTATAATTTCTAGGCTAATTAAATAATATATATAGATAGATATAATTTGAATATGAATTGCTTTAGAAATCCAATGTCCTTCCAATTTAAACATGGGGTCTCATCACGAACAAGGAAAATTAGTTCAAATAAATGTCAATAGATGACGTTAAATGTATCGATTTGTTATCAAAGTTGTGTCAAATTAACAAGAGATAAAAAATAGATCCCAAAAAGGTGTATTATTTGTTTTAAAAAATATTCTAAGTGTAGGGAAATGAAATAATTCGCTCGTAAATCAAATTTGCGTTATTTCACTGATTAACGAAATATCGGCGATCAGCAAGTCCATCATGGGTTGGTAGTGTATACTCATAGATGGCGCTCTTACTTTAATAAATTGTTTATCACGGTTAAAAATTGTTCGAATCACAGGTTTTTTTATTCGAATGCAGGATGAATTTTATAATATTTACCATTCGTTACTTTGCACATATTTATACAATAAAATAGTTTAACTATTTCCGAATCAACAACATCTATTATCTATTTGAGCAAACAAAAATAATCTCGAAGAATAATTAACACTACCCAATTTCTTTATATGGGATGAGGCATCTGGTGAGTTTTAGTATAGTATTATGTGACCGTGAATTTTATTTAAAGACATTATTCTATATAAGAAGTTTGGTCCAGTTGAAGCTCTGCATTCATTAAATTAAATAATAAAACTGACTTAAAAATACAGGTATAGTATATGGAAATATAGTACATCGTTGATATACTTACCTATTCATTGGCATAATTATTTTGCTTTCCATTTGCTATATTGATTGTAGAAAGCACCTGTCTAAGGCTGTTTTGTCAAAGTGTTTTTCTACAAGCAAATTAGAGTAAGACATAAATAGGGTATTTACTAAATAATTTAACATTGATTTTGTTTCATATTTAATATAACAAAGCACTTACAAAATAGCATTCATTATAAGAATACAATAAATAATGTCTACTCAGCAAATAATACTGTACAAAATCGTTAATATAACTTAACATTTTAATGGCAGAGACATTTTGAATTATTTATTTCATGTTTAACCTTCGTGACTCGCATACGCAGCTAGAATTCTCATATAAAACTAAAAATGCTTAGCATAAAATAAAATTTTATTTGTTTCATTAGACAGACTAAAATATAAAGATACAATTCTCCAAAAATTTGTATCACAAGATTTGCCCTCAAATGAAAAGTGCCAATCGTGAAATAAGTAACTGGCTCACACATCCGCATCCGGCATCAGTTGTTCATAGACAGCAGTGCGACATAGAGTATATTGCTACATATATAAAGTGCGACACTCGCCATTTACATATGAATTTGCAAAATTGACTACGAATGCGAAGAACGCCCTTATATTATGAAAATACTTTAATAATTCATGAAATTCATATAATTCGAAAAATATTATGTTACTTACATTATAAAATTATTAATTAAAATTTAGAAAATATTATCAAATTTCTGTTATAAATAAAATAACATTTTCTTAGTAGTGCAATTGTATAATTTTAAATAGGAGTGAGCAAGAGCCTAGACGTACTCGTAGGTAGGTAGGTAGGTACTATAAACTTAAATGAAACCACAAAATCATGACGATATTTCGACGCGGTAGGCGCAATTATTCCATGCATATTGCATATGGCATTACAATATAAATCCTATTTTATAAATTACTCATATTTATTTAAAATAGTCCACTAAGGGCCTGTACATACCACGTTACATTGATCATTGATGGCGCATGATAAAGTCATCGTAAGTATAGGCCCTAAGGTTATAGAACTTAACAAGTTAACAGTTGATTTAGTATTTACTAGACGTAACTGTTTACACAAGTTTTTGTATGAAAAATTATGCTTATTATTGCTGAAATAAGATGCTTATTATTAAAAATAAAACTATTAAATCAACGTAGCGATTCGTCTTCTCATTTATAATCAACAGTGTGACACTTACAGCGATCGTTCTTTTTCATTCTAACCTCCGTAGACGAAATGGTGTTTCAGCATAACACACAGATAATCCAAATTACTATTTTACTAGAAGTATGCTCTAAATTAAACGCATAAGCAATTTTAGACTAAAAATTAACTACTTATAAAATTTACTAAAAATGTGTTCGAACTCAGTCAAAATTTAAATAAAGTACGCCAAAAGCTATTTTTAATATCACTTGTACAAATAATGTTAAGCACTAATAATATATACAGAAATACACTCTCAATTTTTTTATAGGTATTTGTAAGTGCTAATTCTCTAAGAATTTTTGTAATTTTGATTTGTATTAGTAGGTACATTATTATGTTGTTGGTTTATTTACTCAGCTGTCGAGTGAGATAAAAAAGATCATCTGAAAATTTTAAAGAAGGTCATATATATTTAAGGCACTAAGCCTAGCAGTTCATGTATATATTTTTAAACCAATAGCTATTTGTGTACAATGATCAAAAATATAACACTACATATGATTACAAAATATCTATAAGTTAATTAATTATTCTAAATGTAGGTGGGTGTTCATTTTGCTTTGTTTCTCCGTTTTTTATAACATTAAAACAAAATTATAAAATTCGATTTTCACAAGCTCTACTTTAGTGTAAGTATATTAAAGTTATTTAAGTACAGAGCATTTTAAAATCGCATCGGTACATTTTATAATTAATGCTTCATTAAAATAATAAGCTTTACATTATGTCAAATACGGGAATGCTTTATATTTCTTAAAATGTTGTTCACCACAGTCGTTCTCCTAAACCTGAAAAAGATATAAAAATTGTAATTATGTACTTCATTTTTACACTAATATCAAGTTTGTATATTAGTTTTATTACTCGTCTTTTTGTAAATACGTAAATATATATTAATTGTAAATATAAAGCCTTATTTATGAAAATATTTTATTTATAAAAATTTGGATGTATGATTTATGATTTTTGCATAAAAAGTAAAGTGTATACAAATAAAATGGCGCCCATAACGTTCCTCTTAAATCTTTAACTTATAAAAAACATCTAGTGAATATTAAATCTAAGGTTAAATTTAGCATGCTTGGTTATATTGCATCTCACAACAAATAGTAAGTTTTATAGTTTATCCCAATAAGCATGCTTCCCTTGATTAGTTATAGGTGAAGAAGCATTAGTATTACATTAGAACTATGAAAAAATGTAACTAATTAGTCACAAACTGTACAAAATATAAACAAAAGACTAATTTTAGATCCAATTTAGTGTATATATTTAGTATTTTAACAGCCTTTCATTTGTTTATATTTTGTCAAAATTGTTTTACATATATTTGTGATAAAGTTAATGAATGAACAATTGTAAGGTTTCTTGAATTGTGGGTAGAGGTGCCGGTGTTACATTTTTCCACGTGAAATTGATGAGTGCGGATAGCGAAGTAATGTGAACAACATAAAAATAAAATTTTGAATAAAATACATACCATTTTCCGTTTAATCCATTGTATTCAAATTCGAAGGCAAGGAGAATGTAAATAAAAGAAAAACAAATAAATTATCGCCTCTCTGTTAATTCCAACACTCATTCTTTTATTGTGATTTTGGTATTTTCATTACATTATATAACACAATAATTTGCGCCTTAGTATTTGTTGTGAGACTACAAAAAAATAAATAAGGCAAATAACGTCATAATTTGCAACCTTGAAGGTACCTCTCGGCAATATGACGTCACTTCACCCTAATGCCCTATAATCCTCAGACTGAACTAAAATAAATAGTCCTTTCTAGTTAAATTACAGTATAAATAATGAACTTAAATTGATACTTTATACAAAAAATCAACTAACAAAACCAAAATAAATATTTTCGGTCCCATATAGCGAGTTATAAGTACACAGATAAAATAAGTAGAAATAGGTTCGCTATATCCACAACCATCCTTCCAATTAAACGCGCAATTATAATTATTTACCTATCTAAGGTGGTATTAAAACTGTTATTTGACTAGGTGGAGTATATCGGGTATGAAAATGAAAATTTTGAATTAAAAAGTATAGCTCGCTAAATGATGTAATTAAAAAAAACTTTCATGGCGCACTAATGACTTTTATCGTCGGCATTTGAGTATATTAAAAAATATATTTATTATTTATAAATTTAAAATGCGTATTTGTCATTTTCTAAAAATATATATAAACAACGTTATAAATATTTAAATAGAGTTAAAAAGAAAAAAATGTTACCATTACATATTCCATGAGAAATAATGACCATAAAAAGTCATTAGTGCGCGTTTCCTTAATCTGAAACTGGATTTGAAAAATCAGTGCGAGGGTATGTTTAGTTTAACTGTAAAAAAATCTTATCCTAATAGATATGTACACAACTTGCAAGTCTCATCAGAATATATAACCTACTAAATGAGTTTCAAACCTTAGAGTTAATAACAATATAAAAAATTGCAAAATTACAAATATGTGTAAAATATTTACAACTTCGATTATAGAACGAAATTATAGGCTTTTCGATAGGATCGCGGAAATTTTTTGTAAAAATAAAAATTTCCCTACATTCATTGAATTTTTTTCGACAATTTTCAGATTTTTAGTAAAAATTTAGTATTCGTGCTAGTATTACTTATAATTATAATCTCACTGGGCCAGCTATTCATATATTACATTTTAAATCTAATATAATTTAAAGCTTTTACTAAAAAATTTTACAAGCATTTTGAATTTTCAGCAAAGTACATAAATAAAAAATAAATGAATATTGTGTATAATAAATAAAAGAAGCTGCATGTTTTCTCGTCTTTGCGCGAGACACACGAGATTCAAGATAAAAAAAAATTGCCATGCAAACAGCTGGCCCTAACAACAAGTTGCAAAAAGCAACAAAATGAAGCAATTCCATAGTTTCTCTACAAAAACTTGTGGACTATATTTTAATAATAAATTAAATTACTTAAACGGGATAGGAATTAAGGGAAATTATAAGGAATATATTCTAAATCCCAGCAGGCATAGACATATAACATGGGATGCGTAATTCGTGTAAAAAAAAAAAACGAGAAACGATAAGGTACGATTCTTTAAGTCTTCTCATTTTTAGACTTTACGTTACCGTCGATAGATAAATAGTAAATTAATATATAATTATTGTATATGCTTATAATATTAAAATAAGTATAGGAAAATAATAAAATAAGAATTGTTTTAACTCCATGTCCAATATATCACACGCTATATGTCTATGACGCGAGTGTCCGATTATTTTATTTGCAAACTGATTCTTTAGATTAACAAGTGATTCCGATGTTATTTATCACTAAACCTGACATATAAATTATACAAATATATAACAATAAAAATATTCGATTCATGAATTAATGAAAAACGATGTAAAAACGTATTACACGAAAAAGTTTTAAAAAGAAGCTAATTTTAAATTATTGAAACAAGCCCATGCATAATGGAGCTTTTTTTTTAAAATTCAGATCAGCTTCATGATACCATTCATGTTATCATCACTTAGGCTACTTTGATGACAGCAAAAGTTGAGAAAATTAATTAAAGACTTATCAAATAGACTTGAGAAAGCTTGTAAAAAGGTTTTATATACAATTTTGTATAATTCAGTTAATTTTTCAAATTGTAATGATAGATAAAATCGGAATTCCACATTTGTATCAAGAATCAGTAGCAATGAACGTTTGGTGGGTAACAGCTAGCAGTAGTAGGATGTGGAGAGCCCCAGTTTGCATGTGTAGGAATGATACATACTACTCCTGTTCGACACGTCCTTGTTCTCACAGCGCTGCCCGTTGAAACCTTCTGGGCATCTGAAACATTGTTTAATTGAAATCAATTATTTGTACCAAGTTATTCGTTTCTTAACCGACTTCAAAAAAGAAGGAGCCTAATTGTGACTCTATGTTAATATAAAATGAATCTATCTAGAACAACATGGGCGGCGGTAGAATTATTTCCAAGCATGTGCTTGTTCACATTAAAAAACGAACTAATTTTTAAATATTTTAAGATATATTTTTAAAATATTTGTGAGGAATGTTTTTTATCTTTTTTTCGCAAATACCTATCTAATAAACAGGGATTTCGTCTTTCATGGCAAGTGAAACTTGTATCCCTCTTCGGGCGCACATGTAGACTCATTCAAACTTCAAGAAAAAGCTCTAACACTCCAAGTTTTTCTTAAGGTTTTTCTTTCCAAGTTGTCCTTTTTAAAGTTAGTATAATTTTGGAGGTAAATAGCAATTTAGATATCTTTTTAATCTGTTATGAATAATAACCTTGCAAAGTGCTTATGATGAGACAGACTTCACTAAAATTTCAGTCACCTCGATCTTTTTATGATTAGTGTTAGTAGTTACGGAAGCAGTGGTTAAGTTAATTACAAAACAGATTTCAATGAAAACGAAACGTACAAATATTTGTTTTCGTAGGTTTGTTCTAAAATTTGTGTTTGCACATAAACATAAAAAATTTGGTTTTATACACAGTTATAAATAAATACGAAAGTTTTTGAGTGTTATACTGTAATGTTTGCAATGGATTTAGGTGTAATTTGGATTGAGGAGATTCACATTAGTTCCTTTCATCAAAGCCACATCGCAACCACAATATTAAAATCAAATCTAGTATATCATTGCCTAAAAATACGTATATTTCACAGATTAAGCTCGTCTCCATGTATAAAGCTTCCGAATTAAATGAAAGCCTTTTAATCATGAGAAATTTAAGTACATTGAAACATAATGTAAAGAAAATCCAATTATGTGAAAAACAAGTTAATTTCGTTATAATAAAGTAGCGTTTTACTCTCGCTTCGCCTTTGGGTACCTTTAGATATATGTAATTTAAGTACATATATATTAGATATACATATGTATATGTATACATGAATCGCAACCTTTTTGGTTAATTATTTTACAAACAACCTTTTTGTTACTCCTGGTCTATTACTAGATTTCATCCAAATCAGTCCAGCCGTTTCACAGTGAAGAAGTAACAAACATACACATACACACATACTCATAAAAAAAGCATTTATAAAAGTAGTATGATTAGATAAGATTTCACATTATCTATAGAAACTCACTTGCAAGCTTGCTCCTGAACAACTTCGAAGAATAAACAAGTGCCTCCATTTAGACAGTAGGAGGTTGGATCTGGCATCGGACATGGCGCACCAGATGCTGTAAAACATAATATAATTATTGTTAAAAAATATATAAATATGTCAATTGCAATAAATTTTACTATGGTCCATCCTGAAATCGAATAAAATGCGTACTCATCATTTAATCGAGTAATATCGATATTTACCAAAATAAAAAGTCATATTTTTATATTTAGAGTATATTTTTATTAGTGCGATCTTAAATCAGATTCGTAGAGAAACCCTAATAAAATTAAATCAGATTTAGACCAAACAGAAACACGCCAAAGCCAAAAAGAAATATGCGTGATTTTTTAATTGTAAATTCATTATATAATAGTAAAAAAAATTAAAATATCATACCGATACGGATACTTTAACCGCCCGTCATTTCGCGCACTTGGCGTGACGTCAAAGTATCGTATATAGAAAAATGACAACTTTGTAGCGAAAAAATCGCTAATCGCTCTGTTAAGATATACTCTGACGTCATATTCGGTCTGAACAATGGCGTGCGTTTCAACTACTTTGAATTCCCCACCTATATTTGCAATTTTTAATAATTATTTTCTTAATCAATAATAATTTACATTAAAAAATATTGAAATTAAAATGAATTAAAGATTATAAAAAATATATTTCACCTTTATTGAAATCACACGCGTATTATTTACGTATTTTATCCAGCAAATAGATAAAAAAAAATCTGTACCATTTTTAAAACAGTTAGTAAAATTATCATACAAAGAAGAACATGATCTCTTTAAAAATCAGTTAAAAACAACCGGTGTAAGAATCCTACAATGGTATGGTATGGGTAGCATTTTATTGCCTATTATTGTTGATTCGCAGAACTATCTGTGAACTGCGTATGTCATATACTGCACCGTGTAAACAATATGCTCTTCCAGTTACGATATGTGTTCTGTTACTCGAGATGCATTGCGATTGTTTTTATGAATAATTATATATGAACAGGAATTATTATGTGTGTCTTTCTGTGCGTTCAATTTTTGAAGCGAGCTTAATTTATCCAAAAATGGGATTTCCATTCTCTTAATGATAGACATAGAATTTCTACTCATATTTTGTTTTAACTTGAGTACTATTCAATATGTTTTGTTATAGGCAACCTGAATATATCGTTCCAGAAATGTAATCGTTTTCATCGTATTATGCAGATGCAGGAAGAAGTTTGCTTAAAAGCTCTCATAATAGCTATAGAATATTGATGTAAAGTGTTTTGGATATTATTTAATGCTAATTCGGACTTTTTGTAGAAAACTTGAGTACTTTTGTTAAAGAAAATTAATTTGATTATTCTCATATGTACGAAGACACATCAAAGCTTTATGATCACTTTTCTTAAAAATCACGTGATAAATGTCACAGGTTTTTGTTATCATTTCATAACAAGTATTGGGACGTGCAAATAGTCAAGCTTGGACTTGTTTTCTACATTGTGAAGACAATTAAGCGATAAATTGATTGAAATAAGCCCTTGTACATATGTTGTTTTGGTACGTGTGGAAAATATTAGTATATGTACTAACATACTAATAAAATACTGGATAATTTAATATTCAATAGATAAACATTATGGTAATATTTATGGTTTGTATTAACAACATATGATGTCTAATAATTACTTTCTAAAACTACATCAATGTTTAGTAATTTATGGTATTGCAAACTTTATTTTTTCGTAGTTGCCAATATTAAGAACGAAAGTGGTGTTTTATTACATAAAAATTTTCTGCGGGATATTTATGAATTGTAAAAACTCCGGCACAACCCTTTTAAATACATTTAAAAAATTACATAAACAAAAATTTCAATTCAACATAACTCATATATATTTCTGTTGGCAAAATTAATAACCGTAAAAACTTATTGACACTTTACACTAAGTTTTAGACATATTGAATACTAGTTTTTCTTCTGTATCAAATTAGACAAAAATATTACTTTAAATAAAATTAAAGCTGTGACCTACGATTATATTTAGCCAAAATAACTAGATCTAGAATGAAAATATCCTTACGTGTATCCGGGGTGGCAATGACTTGCGGCACAACGCTAACGTTGGCCGTCGTCGAAGCCGCCGGTCCCACCGCGCCCTGCGCTCTGCACTCGTACACCGCGGAGTCGTCCCGACGAGCATGTCTTATCACTAGTACCGAGCGCCTCCTGAAATCATTTGTTTATTATACATATATAAATGTAAGCAACCTTCATTAATTGTTAAAATGAATATCATAATATCGAAAAAACTATTCAAATAGGATCAGTATTTTTTAAGAAAATCTCGGACATACAAATCAATTATAGAACCAAATATAGGACAATCAAATATAGAACCTACTTTTTTTAAATAGGTTCGGTAGAGTCTATTTTTGAAAATTTTGTTCAGTAGGAAACGGTCGGCGGATAATATATTTCTAAATTCCATCAAAGTCTAAAGGTAAAGTGATGGCGTATTTGATGTAGACTTGTTCTCACTTTGGTTTCGCCATAACAAATCATAAATTATAATTTATAAGCAATACCGATACTATTAGTACGCTATCTATCACGTGTTGATCGACCAAAGTTTCATCGAAATCGGTCAGATTGTATGAACGCATATGGTATTCTTATTTTTATAAATAAAGAACTGAAATTAATACGAACACTAAACATTTTATTCATACAAGCATCAACTTGATTTCCATTTTGTAGGTAGTAAAACTAAAATGGCATAAACATTCATTAACAAATCGTAAAATCGTCGGATTGCTTATAAAATAGTAGGTTTTAATTTCCTAAGAAAGTCATTGAGTTCATTCCCTCTATAAAAATGACTAACAAGACTAATCAGCTGTGCGGTGTGCGGTTCATACATCTACCGATCAAACGAGCCGTGAAATTGATATTCATATTACTTTATTATAATTACTTCTCAGATTACACCATCCTTTTCCTTTCTTATATACGTAACATAAGTGTAATATCTTTATTGTGTGCTTATTAGTAGTAGGATTTGTTATTATAATTTTGTCATTATTAAATTATATTTTTGTTGAATTTATTTGATTTTTAACATTGTTGCGATATTTGAAGGTATACTTCTTTTGGCACGTTTGGGAAAAAATATGAGAGTAAAATTTACGAATTTACTATGCGCGCGCACACCGACAGCCAAAAAGCGACATGATGAAGTTAGCTAAAAGCGACAAGATGGAGTTAGCTGCGTTCCTTTTACAAACAGAGAGTTGTGACATACGGGATGAAATCTTTAGCTATTTTTGTTCTGTTACGCCAAAGAAGTAGGTATAATTTCTTACACACACACGTTGTTTTATTATCATTACCTGTTTTATATTGTTTTCACTTACTGCACTTCTTAACAAAATCACACTCTATGAATAGTAATCCCGTCATCATATTTGTAATAAAAGTAAATATTATGTTAACTGAGTATGATATCGGTATTTATAGTTTCGTGCCTAGCTTCGAAGAAAGAAGTTTAAAATTAGTAAAACCTTCGTGCTCTCATCAGTAAAAGAAAATTAGTTCAATTGAATGTCAATAGATGGCATTATATGTATAGAATATACATAGATATTGTTAACGGTATCAATAAAAAATTATAATAAAAAAAACCTTAGAGTTGTTTTTTAAACTCTACTTAAATGAATAAAATGCGTTCTTAAATTTAATTTTCTTGTTTTGGTTCCAATTTGGTTATTATATAATTTGTGATAATATAATAGCTTCTTGAAGAATATACCCTCAGGTAAACAGTAATAATTAATTATTGAACTACGCTAAAATATACGAAAATGTCTAAAAATAAAAAAAAAGACATATCTAACATATGTATGTCACATTACAGCCTAGAATTAGGTACTTTATAAGAATACGTTATTATTACGTAGAGTTCACAATTTTAATTTGTAAAAGATTTTTACTGAGTTATACAGTTATTACTTGAAAACTGCCTCGGTGGTGTAGTGGCTAGCATGTACGGCTGCACACCCGGAGGTCCTGGGTTCGAGTCCCGGGTCGGGCCAAGTTTAGTTACTGATTCTTTCTGTATAGTAAGTCTCAGTAACAGCCCGAAGTTGGGAAGTTGGCGGTGTTTCACCCCCGTGTCTCGGAGAGCTCGTAAAGCCGTCGGTCCTGCGCCTTAACTCTCACCGGTCGTGTCGAGTGGTCGTCCCACCGGAGTATGAGAGTGATAGGAATAGAGAGTGCACTTGTGTCTGCGCGTACACTTGAGCACTATAATATTTCCTGCGCAGTTGGCTAATCTCAATGAGATTGGCCGCCGTAGCCGGAATCGGCTAGAAGAACTTGAAAACTCTCCGGACTCAAAGCGTGACATAAAACCAAATATTAATACCAAATATTTATCTATATATAAATAATTAAATACGCAAAGACAAAAAAATTCGCTGATTTTTTCCTGTTTGTTTTTTTGTTTTTGTTTTCTTACTTGTTCTTAAGTGTTATCAATAAAAAAGAAACAATGATGATTATTGAATTTCGATTACTGGCCGAACAGTAGTAGTAATTAAAACATACGACATTGACTAAACGATTACATATAATTAACAACACCTTTCGCTCAGTTTGTTGTGACCCTACTTGCTGTGCCATCGGTCGCGGATTCGATTTCCGCTGGGGGCGTTCATTTGTGAGATGAGCACGAATATTTGTACTCCAGCCATGGGTGCTTATGTTTAAAATATGTATGTATTTAAAGCTATATATAGTGTATCAACTATCTGGTATCCATAACACAAGCCTCGTAGCTTACCATGGAACTAGATGGTACTGTGTGTTAATGTCCCAACATATTTAAATATTTATACATTCTTTGACGAGTCGTTTCTTATTGCCTGACACATGTACATACATCACCTTAGTCAACAGTCTGTGTATGCAATTAAGAAGATGTAATCTGTTTGATGCAATTGACCGTTGCATATTTCTAATGTAAGCAACATAAGCTTCATTGTTAGTGTTTCACTGCTTTAGATTTGGTTCAAGAACATTACGGGAATTAAACACGAGTTGAGAATTTGGTTGTTAAAATCCTGTTGTCTTGGGTTCGATTTTATTACTGTGTTAAATAAAGTATATTATAGAAAATTCTGTCTTAAAACTTTTTTTAAAAGATTTTTTTTTCGATGTCTAACTTTTTTTGAACTAATGGTAAAATTGATACTTGCTTGCAATATAGCAAATGTTATTATCTCTTTTATTTATACACTAGTGACTTAGTTTCGTTTCTTTTGGATACGTCCCTAACAGTAGTCTATTTGTTACTCCAGTGCCCCTCAGTGTCTATCTCTAGCATTAAGTTAATAAAATTAACTATTTATCTTAAAAATCAGTGGGCTACCTCAAAATATTAAGTATAAAAAAAGTTTTTATTTTCGAAATTTTTGTTTTTTTATAAGCTACAAAGTCTACCCCCAAGCTAAAAAAAATTTTTTTTTCGCTCCACTCTAACACACACACTTTTCGCATTTATAATCATAGTGTGATGAGACCTACCTACTACCTATCTACCTACAGGGCTTACAGTTTTGTGTCACTATTGAAAAACCTGTATATTTAGTAGGTTTGAAATTATTTACTGTTTACTGAGCATTATAAAATTGAATGAATTAGGTCGCCACAAAAGAAATGATGAAATTCGTAAAGTGTTTCTTTGAATTGTACGGTCTACTTTATTTTGAAAGAAATAAAATTGCATGATTCAGAAATTGCGCGTAAGATTTTTAATAGAAAAAACAAGATGAGTCAATTTTTTTCGTGTGCGAAACAACTTTTTTCATTACGTGAAACAAATGTACGTACTTAATATGAGCGACCAATGAACTTGGGAGTTTTTTTTATAAGTATTTTAGTTATTATATATTGCTACTGAATCTTCATTTAAAATTTAATAAGTTTTTTTATGAAACCTAATATTAACCTTTAATAGAAAGGCAAAAAAGTACTTTGTACTCTAAGGAAGTTTAGGCTCGCAGCTTGTAATATAAAGACAAATATACCTATCTTATTTATTAGTAGTTTTTGGTTAAAAACGCGACCTCCCTTTTTTGTAACGGAAAAGCCCATCTTAGCAAATCTGGAGTTAATCTTGGAATGCACTTTGCTCGTCTGATTATATAAAAACTTTGCAAAGCTGTATAGTCATTACAAGTATTTTTCGCGAAATTTCATTCGTAATATTGTCATTATAATTAAATTAAATGTTTATATTAATTTAAATAAAATGGTTATAAGTTATAACCAATAAGTATGTACGACGGATGCTCAGAATATACTAGACTGAATGGCTAGATCCTGTGCTAGATCATAGAAAATATATTTAAAAAAATAAGGAAAGAAACGTCAAAGTGTCTATTTACCTGTAATTTTGCACCCGGAATCTTCGTAACGCGATATCGGCTACGGGCTTTCCATCCTTATACCAGGATATGTGTGGTGGCGGGCGTGCGCTAGCCTTGCACTCCAAGCGCACGCGCTTCCCTTGTTCCACCTGTACTGACTCCATCTTCTCCACACGTGCTTGGCTACCTATATACAGAGATGTTATTAAAATATATATTTACCTAATACTTTCTTAGATTTACGCGAATATTTAATATTTTAAAATAAACCCGCCTCTCCCGTGACCATGATTGCTGTAAAACATTCGAAACGTCTGAACCAAAAATCGGGAAATAAAAAAATAGCTTTATTTTTATGTCGTCTTTTAAATAAAACTGTTTTTTTATATATAACTTTTCAGATAAACTATTTGGATCTACTTTCGTTTTTTTTCTTTTTTTTTTAAATTCGCACTACGCGTAAGTCGAACCTAATATGTCTGGTATTGTAGATCAATCAATATGTCACAACGCATAAAGAATATACATATATACAATAAAATAAATATATTTTCAGAAACAGTAACAATCATAAAGAAAGAGCAAAGATATAAAATATGATAAATATTATAATTAAGCCAATATGTCATATATTCTAGGATATTTATGTACTAGAAGCGATTTATTATATTAGTCATAGAGGTAGAGTGAGATAACGTCTTCTGATCTTACATATTTTTCATTATTATAGCAAGCAACATTTATTTTGAGAATTAAGTATGGCATATTAATAGTATTTAATTCAGTCACACATATTTTTCAACCAAATATACGAGAAACTCCTTACCGTTGATTAATCGGCCGTGAACTAAACTCATTAATTTACTTGTCCACATTAAATGTTACAACGTAAAAGATCTAGTTCATTGTTCTCAGAAATTGCTGTACAAAAAAAATATCCATTTAACTCACCTTTAATAATTATAATTGTTTACCTTCAGTTGCCAAAATCTATATACAGATAAATAAAATTGAAGTGTCTGTTTGTAATGTCAAAATAACAGCTTTTTACTATATAATATATGGCACTTATAAGAAAAACACTTTATTTTTTTAATTTTTATTTATCTGTCTGTCTATTGTTCCGGCTAATCCCCGAAATGGCTGGACAGATTTTGACGGGATTTTCACTGGCAGATTGCTGATGTTATAAGGAGTAAGTTAGGGTACTTTTATTTAAACAAAAGAATTAGGGTTCCGCTCAAAAAAATAAAGATAAGGCGCTAGTCACTACTAAATCTAAATAAAATACGGCACTACCGTAGTATAAATTTCCACTTTCGTGTATCATTCCTTAAAGTCGCCTTCAAAAGTCCCAAACTAAAAATAAACGCTGTCATTAGGCCAACGGCCTTATAATTCGGTCTGAAGAGTAACATATGTAAGAACAAAAATAGCTATATTATCTAAACAGTTTGACACCAGGACAAAAAAAATTGGCTGAGTTTCAGTGAAAAATAAAGTGAATTGTAATCGCTTTACGATGTATCGAGTATGTTCACTCCATCTGAATAAGAATGGTGAAATGATCACGTGTTATGTGTTAGTGTTATTTTTGTTTTTCACGGGCTTCTTTATATATTAAGTACTACTTCTTACTACTTCACATGTTATTTTTACCTTCTTTTCCAAGTACGAAATAAGATAAAAATTATATGCTAAGTATATTATAAACTAATTTGAAATTTCTATAAAACTAGCGACTAGGTTGATTCCCCATACAAACTTTCATCCCCATTTTCACCTCCTTAACCCTCTTTGTTACGGAAATTATCCCGATTTCCACAATAAACAATATCCTATGTCCTTCCCAATATTTCAAACTATCATCTTATCAAATTTCATCTAAATCAGTCCAGTAATTTTTTGAGTTTATTCGTTACAAACATACAAAAATATATATCTTTCCTCTTTATAATAGTGTAAAGTGTAGATGATAAATGTTTTCTAATTGTACGAATGTTATAAATCCGAGATTGTATTAAAATTAGTTAATTTTAAACCAAACTCCTGCGTAAGCGCATAGTTTTTAATTTGATTTCACTTTTTATCGACAAATCTAGAAAGCGAGTGGAGCTGCGACCAAAAACGAGGACTTTTACTTAACTTTTTTGTTATCTGCTAGATTTTTAGGTACAGCCAAGTCCATTAATTTTATAGGTCCAAAAAATTTGTTAATCCTATGCGTCAATCCAAGATATAAGTTTTTACATTAATTTTATTCAAGCCCCTTGAACCGTTGCAACATAAAACTTCTTCAACAAACAAACACTCTCACATTCGCATTCATTATATAGTGTTAGTGTAATAATAATCTATTTAATTCATTTATGTTTGAAATTAGTTGCTGGAAGACTTTGAATTGACAGTAATCGGACCCGAATCCCACGCAGATCACCTTATTCTATTATATATATATATATATATATATATATATATATATATATATATAACAAAGACACATTTAAAGTTATTGACTTTAAAATCGCCTTTTTTATAACATTCTCACGTTATTTTGTTCATAAAAAAATAGATTCCATGAATGTTCGGAGCAATTGAACTCTGCCAAAATGACGTAAACTCATTCAGGCTTTCGTTATTTATATATAAGGAATTTCTAAGACTGCCAATATCGCCTACGGATATGAAAATATGAATGGAAACGTATACGGTTGTCGGTTTAGCCAATAATCATTAGTAGTAATTTTCTTCTTACCCAGTGGTAGCATGTGTAGAATAAATAATAAATATACAACATAATTGCCACTAGGCTTATGGTTAGGAAAAAAATTATGAAATAAGCAGGTTTGAGAGGCTCAAATTTTTTTTAAAACATGTGAACTCCATCAATCTGGACTTGGCCAGCAAGCTTGGACTCTGGCTTGATCCCTCCGCATTTAGGCCCATGCTCAGCAGTAGATATTTAACATACATATTATTTGTTTCTGTCATTGGATATTTTCTTTAAAAAACTCATGGGACAGCGGTATTTTTTTATATAGGTATTAACTATTTAGGTAGGAAATTTATGGTGGGCAAAGGAATATTGAAAATGCAATAAAATTGAACATTACTTCTTCCTCAACACTTTGTGTAAACTCTTTTGAATCCATATGTATGAGACCATAGTGGTAAGATTGGGTAATTAGTTAATTGTTAAATATCTTTTTGTACCCAATTCAGTACATAGAATAAACTTTTTAAGACCAATTTTTCACACAAAATTTTATTTCATTTCATTAATTTCAGATTGAATTTAAATTTTTTATTAGAATAATTATAAGCTCTGTGACCGACTGTAAAGCTCTATTTTAGTTTAGTAGTTTTATTATAATAATTATTTTTTATTTATGCTTAGGGAAAGAAACATACAGTTAGAAAAAAAACGTATTTATTTTTTTTCTTTTTTATAGTGTTTCAACGTCTACAAATAATTTATATAAAAACTTTTTGGCAAAGACTCTTAATGCCTAAACGATACAAGCCCGCCCATGAAATAAATTTAATCTGTACATTATTTGATGTGGACATATTTCATTTTCAGACAAATGGTTATTCATTTGGCATACATATATTTCATATAAAAAAACAAAACTTTTTGGTTTGATTTTATTTCTTTATAAAAAATTGCAAATATGAATAAGGGCAAGAGTAGATGCCAAGTAATATTTTTAAAAATTAAAATGATAAAAAATCTTTTCTGAAATATTATTAACATGTAAATTATTATTTGATTTCTTTCGTCCGTATTACCTTTAAAAGTTAAAAAGTAGGCTAAAAATAAAATCATTTAAACTGTAACATGTAGTGTTTTATCGCTCAGAGAATATAAATAAATAGCGTTTTTATTTCTTATTAGTATCCACTAATTTTGTATTTGTTGTACAAACAAAATGATCAAAATTGAGAATTGAGTCAAACCAACACAAGAAATTCTTGAGAACAAATCTAATATTAATATATATATATATATATATTATATATATAAGACGGAGGAGGATTTAGTTACCTTTTTCTGTTATGAAACCTTATTATTGTTTAAAGTCACTATGTTCTTTAATTTAATTGTTATTGCTTATTTTGAATTTAGAGCAGAGATTTAGTCTCGAGCGGGGTCGAGACGCCATCACGACATTCTTTGGCAGCATACGTGGTGTAGTAAAGTCGGTTGATCTTAAAGAGTTATGTTTGATATTGTAGTTGGAAGTCGATGATCGGTGACTGTGAACCGCTAGCTCTAAATCATTAGAAATTACCGTTTCAAGTTTATAAAAACATTGTGACTTCCCTGATTAAATTGTGTATTGAGCACTGAATACTTTATTATTTGAGCCCTGATAACGCCCACAAGATGAGTAACCACCAAAGATGATGTTCGTAGTATATGGATAACACGACATCAGAAGTGGTATGATACCCGAAGAACAGGGCAAAGATAGATGACAGTGGCCATTTTGAAAATTTTTTGTTGCGAAAATTTTTCTCAAACTGAAACGAAAATGCGATGTCAAATATTAAAAAGGACGCACAAAATGGCGATGCATATGCGGGTTCTTTTACAGAAGATTTACTTTTACTTTGATAATGATGAATTATGATGATATGATATATGCAAGATGCTCAAAAGATTAAAATAATCGTAGATGTCTCAATTAAATTTTTATGGAATGACATGACGTCGACATAGATTTGTTGCTAGCTGGATTTGATTTTCTTGATATTATCGCAGAAATATTTTTGAACACAATATGTATGGAAAAATTAAATGGAAAATTTGTTTATTTCAGGATGATATATGAAGTTAATTTATTTAATCGATAAATTACGAGAATTATTTTTGAAATGTTTTTGTTCGATGCTTATAAGGACCTTCTTCTAGTTATGAAATAAAATATAAATCATGTCAGAATTTTAGTGTCAAAAAATGTTTTGTATTGTAATTGTTTGCTTTATATTTGTTTTATTTCAGGATTTTTAAAGTGAAAATATTGAGTTGATATTTTTGATAAAATAAAATTTAACTAAAAGGCTTACTATTTCTCGTTGGGACATTAAAAGATGATACTTGCAAAATATATTGGGAAAATAACATGATCTCTGGTTATACTATAATCGAGGTGGTATAAACGTGATGTTTTTATCTAACAAAATTTTTTTGCAGTTCATCAAGTGAAATATGAGAAATAGTTGACTGTATTAATGGTCATACAGCGAAAAACTAATGTTTGTGTACACTCCGAAGACATTCTCATACGCAGACTGAGATATAAATCTTTGATTATAATACCGATTTGACATGTCCTTATTTGGTCCAAAGATTAAGCATAATTAGATCGGGCCGATGGTAATAACAACTGTGGCACAATATTAAATAATATTAATTTTCAGGTGCTTTGTTTCAAGTGTTGAAAATATGTATTCAGCGTAGGAGAGGACGATTTCTTCAGCCAGATAAATAAAATCACGCTAAGCCAGACCACATGAGGACGTATACGATGCCCTAAAAGAAGAAGACGGTATCCAGAGATGCTTGGGCTGTGCAAAAAATGGATATCTGTGGACTCTTTCATTTAATCTAATATTCAGAATATAATATGGTGAGACGTTTCCATTTTGTTTAGATGTGTCAGGCAATTCATATAGGAATGTACCGTTAAAGACGGTTGTGATCGTAGTTATTTCTAATAATATCTAGCAGCTTAACATTAATGAACCTACGTAGCACAAGCTAGGGTGACTGAATTGACGAAGTTATGTAAACATTGACAAGCCGAAGTAGCACGATTAGGCTGTATGATTCTGATATTGCTGTGCGACG